ACTTTTCATATAATAAGCTCTAAAGAATTTACACAAAACATAATTTGTTTAATTACATACCAATCTGAAATACGTAAGCAATAAGAAATTGCTGTTACACCTGTGCCGATTCAATACATCAAACAGCTCCCTTTGATTTTCCAATAATTTTATCCACATTAAACGAATAATCGATAGCAGTGCAAATTGTCAAAATTGTTATTCACGCATTCTCTTCTGGGTGTCGTAAACCGTTCACAGCTAATGCCGTAAAATATAACGGTCGGTGTTTATCACTCGACACGTGGTCGCATTTACGGGACATTAATCAACAATATTTAACCTGTCGGTTCTTTTGAAAAGGGTCGTAATACGGAATAGCAGACCGGTTGTAATCTCGGACCTTCCGACCATTGAAATATGTAGAGAAAAAATTGGTTCTTTCAAAAACTGCCTGTATTATGGGATAAGTCTTATTTTCTGACCGGTTATTAAGCGGTACTTTACTGTAGAAAAATCTTGTTAACACTCCAGTGGCTTGAATATGGGTCACCTGGGGTCAAAAACTAGGTCATACTGCTCAAATATTGATAATCCTTGTAAACACTCTAGTGGTCACATTTTTGACTCACCTGTCATGAAACTTGGTCAGAATGCTTGTCTAGGTAATTGTTCTAGGTAAATGAGTTTGATGGGTCAGGTGAGCAATCTAGGGCCATCGTGGCCGCCTTGTCTTAAAGATTTGTTGAAACTGTTTTTATTTGCTTTTAGAAAAAGTCATAAAGTTGAGTGTTGCTCCGTGCGGCGAAGCTATTTTCTCTGACATTTGATGCCTGAAAATTTCCACAAAGCAGTCTTGAGAGTAGCGTATTTCTGTGATGATTTATAACTTCTGACTTCTTGGTGATTGACTCAATATGAACTTTTTCTTTGATAGCATAATTATATTGATGTTACTGGCTAAATCCCCGGGAAGTCGGTTCTACGGCAGATGGATGTGTTACTCTGCCGCTGCACAGACCACCAAGGTGTTTTTCCATTATCGTCCACAGTTTTTGTCTTTGTTGATATTTAATTCCAGTGACGCTTCTCTTCAAACTCTTATTTTTACTCAGAAACTGAGGCAATCGCAAAAGAAACTTCCTTGGCCCTTTGAATTTTAAATCATTTGACTTGCAAAATTAATGCTTTCTACAAATATATTTTGTTATATTGTGAAATCATTATCCATAAAACAACACAAAAATCATTTTCTATAATATCTATCATATAAATTATTTTGAAAAAATTCTCTATTTTTTTCTAACCTAGTGCTAGCAATATGAGCAAAATAATGAAAATACACCTTTTGCTGATATAATTTTAAATTGTTAAAATAACATGTGTTAAATGATCATATACCTCATATCATCTTTAAATTCCTAAGTGTTGTTCATAGCTAGTAACAAATAACATGTACTTGTGTAATTCAGTTGATAATTTTTGACATGCATCTATGGATATTATTGATATTTTGACCTTTTTCTGGTGCATTACTGTCGTCTCTTTCTTTGTTCACGATTTTATCGTCAGAAAGTAACCATTAAACATCCATCCCACTGATTTTATATAACATGCATTATTTATTTTTATCATTTAACTTTAAGAACAGTTTAAATATTAAATGAACCTGATGACTAGCTATTATCTTGCAATTATTAGCATGACTTTCCTTTTATGTTCTCTTTTTCATCAACAAGTAAAACCAAAATGGTAATAAAATTCTTAAATATATAAAACGCATCAGTTTATGCTAAATGATTCTTCACCCAATGATTGTTATCCATATATATTCCTATGTTTATTTCTTTTTATGAATAAAGCGAATGTTTAATACATGCATCATATGACAAAATAATGATCACTGTTGCATGGTTGAGCACTAATATAAAGTCATGTGAATGAATCTCGTTTTGGATCCTATAATTACTAACGTTTGTAATGTGTACCAAGCTTAAACATACGTATTTTTATTCAATATATTACATTAATAATAATATTATCCTCTAGGTTCCTATACCTAAATGATTGAAGACCAATGATTTCAAAATGATTGGAATATGAATTAATCAACTTGAATTAAACAAATATTAAATAAACAATACACAATATGGATAATATTTGTTAACAATCCCAAATCATAGACTTTCCTAATCTTGATGCCTTTCTGACATATAACGTCTCGATGCCTACCTATAATACTATGCTTCTATTTTCTATGCTTCTGTTAGTAGAAACTATTTATACATTTCATTAAGATTACATCAAAGGAATACTCGAATTATTATTTAAAACAGAATAATAGCAAACTAACCTTGAAAAACATAATAAAATTAAGAACGTATTGTCTACATTTGTTCACTTGCAAATGGGGTTCATGTATTAAAGGGCCATAACTCGTTATAACTGTACACATTTTTAGCTCACCTGTCACAAAGGTGGGCTTTTGTGATCATAATTTGTTCGTTCGGTAATTGCTCGGATGAGTTCGAACATGGGTCATCTCAGATGAAAAACTAGGTCACAAGAGCTATAAAAAGAAAAACCTTGTTAACACTAGTGGTCACATTTTTGACTCAATTGTCATCAAACTTGTTCAGGATGCTTGTCTAGGTAATTGCTCGGATGAGTTCCAACATGGGTCATCTCAGATGAAAAACTAGGTCACAGGAGCTAAAAATCTTGTTAACAGTCTAGTGGCTACTGTTTTGATCCAAATATCCTGGAAATTGGTCTGAAAGTGTTTTTTTGTTGATTTCTAGTTCAAGTTTGAACATGGGTCACCTGGGGTCAAACACTAGGTCACACCACCCAAATATGGAAAACCTTGTTAACATTCTAGTGGTCACATTTTTTGACTTAATTATCATCAAACTTGGTCAGGATGCTTGTCTAGGTAATTTAATGAGTTTAAACAGGGGTCATCTAGGATGAAAAACTACGTCACGGCTAAAAATCGAAAAATCTTGTTAACTGTTAACTGGCTTCTGTTTTGTTCAAATATCCTTGAAATTGTCTGAAAGTTTGTTGTGATGATTTCTACGTCAAGTTCGACTATGGGTCACCTGGGGTCAAAAAACTAGGTCACACTGCTCAAATATAGATAATCCTTGTTAACACTCTAGTGGTCACATTTTTGACTCACCTGTCATGAAACTTGGTCAGAATGCTTGTCTAGGTAATTGTTTGGATGAGTTTGATTGGTCAGGTGAGCAATCTAGGGCCATCTTGGCCCTCTTGTTTGTTTTTCTGTTTACATGTCATTTTAAGCTCAACTATACGAAGTATATGGAGAGCTGTCCTACTCGCCCCGGCGTCGGCGTCCGCGTCCAGGTTTTAGATTAAAGTTTTGGTGCAGTAAAATATTTTTCACTATAACTTTGTCATTTCTTAAGGTATCAACTTCAAACTTCAAATATATGTTCCTTATCATCAACCACATCTTATGTGACAAGGTTCATAACTCTAGCACCAATATTTTCAGATTTATCTCCCCTTGAACTTAGAATTTTCCTTAAAAAATACTATTTTTTACTGTTACTTCTTTATTTCTTAAGGGATCAACCTCATACTTCAAATATATGTACCTTATCATCATCCCCATCTTATGTGACAAGGTTCATAACTCTAGCACCAATATTTTCAAATTTATCTCCCCTTGAACTTAGAATTTTCCATAAAAAATATATTATTTTTTACTGTTACTTATTTATTTCTAAAGGGATCAACTTCATACTTTAAATATATTTACGTTATCATCATCCACATCTTATGTGACAAGGTTCATAACTCTAGCACCAATATTGCAAGAATTATCTCTTCATAAACTTAGATTTTTTTTACTAGAAAAATGTTATTTTTTATTATAACTTTTTTATTTTTAAAGGTATCTACCTCAAACTTCAAATACTTATTCCTTATCATCAATTACATTTTATGTGACAATGTTCATAACTCTTGAAGCAATATTTACAGATTTATCTGTCTTTGAACTTAGGATTTTCTTTAAGAAATATAATAACTTCTTTACTTTTTAAGGTATCTACTTCAAACTTCAAATATATATTTCTTATCATTACACAAATGTTGTGTGACAAGGTCCATAACTCTAGCATGACTATTTCTAGAATTATTCCCCTTGATCTTGGAATTAATGTTAACAAATGTTATTTTTTTTCTATACCCGTAATATATAATTATACATAATGGATTTTTCTTTCATAGTTTTGTCCTCCTTACTGCGTCCAGTATTTTATTAGTCGAGCTTCGCTGTCTCCTGTGACAGCTCTTGTTGTAACTTGCATTCATGAAAATTCAGCAAGTTAATGTATTGTTAGATGTGTCCAAAGTCTGTGAACTGGCATCAATTGACAAATGTGTCTAAAAGTTTGAGAACTGACCTATTTTTGTTCATAAATGTAATGTTTACAACAAAATAAAGTAGGGATTACATATCATTTAAAAACTTTCTGTTTTGACATAATATGTTCACTAGAATCTGTGATAAGGTGAAATTTAGCAGCACTATGTTAAGTATTTTGCCAGAGTAAATATTTACAAATTTCCCAATCACAATGTTTTGTTTAAAATGGTTACCTTTGGCTGGAGATGGAAGGAAAAAAGTAACTATTATTGAACTTAAAAAATATTCAAAAACAATATATAGTTATTACATATATAGTTATGGTCATAAGGCTGTTAAATAGTTCAAAATATAGATGAATTGTATTCACCATTAATTGACTAGTATAATTTTGACTTCTGAGTTATATAGGAAATAATGATATTACAGTAATTTGGAGAGAGACCAGCCAGCTCACCAATACAAACATATCAGGTGCTTACTTTTGGTAAACATGTAGTTATATTGAAAATAATATTTGAAAATTACCAATGGGAATTTTGTAACCTACAACACAGGACATGTTTATTGCCGGAAGACTGAGGATTTAGGTTAAATTTTCAATTTCATATCTTCACAGTGCGTGTTGACTTGACACCACCAGAAGAGGGTACAGTAATTGATGGTGATTTCGAGGACTTCCAGGATTTACAATACAGCTCTTCTAAAACTAATATACAGTTACAGTGGGAGAACTTCCAGGACGCTGAGTCAGGAATACGCTCATATGATGTACAGACATTAAGAAAAAGGTATATTTGTTTGATAACATCAATTGTATCATAGTTTGGGGACCTTTCTGTTAAATCGGTCAGAGTTAAAACGTATACATATACATGCACAGTGCGTTAACTGGAGTGCAGGTATTAGTTAACCGCACTCCAGAGCATGCCCATTGATTGGCCCATTTTTGCTGGAGTTAACTTATTGTGACAGCAAAGAAAGAGAAAGCGATAAAAGTATCATATTCAGATGCTTGTTCATTGGTTACTTTTTTTCTTGGGTTTCATATTGTGACAACAGGGAACGTGTTTTTATGTTTGACTATGATACAAAAGAGAAAGAACATCAAAACACTCGACAATCTGATTAATACTGGTGGGTGGGGGGGGGCTACACAATCAGGTTAACTACAATCATTTCGACATTTGACTCGTGTTTAGATGCTCTTTCTATTACACATAAACTTTGTTATATACTCTTTGTTCATTAGGTCAGTTTTAGAAGCATTATTCTTGTTAGCTTGTTTCGTTAGTATGTGGGACATCCAATACTCATCAGTGTTGTAAATAAAAGAATTCTTCCAATGAAATCCCAGCTGCTTTAAATCATGGAGTTAAATAATAGATGGAGAAGAAACTGTGATGTCACACAGTTAAATTCAGTATCGGCGGAAGTGTGTTTACTCATGTTATATGTTGTGGGATTTTCCGAGATTTGATGCATCCTGGGTAAAAGTAGCCAAAATACTGCCATATTGAATTCCCGGAGGTACATCGACAAAAAAGATGATGCATTTTCTACTTATTTAAGAAGCAATAGTTATTTGTTCTCAAACATACAATACACACTTTTCTACAGAAATATTTCTATGATGAAAATCCATATCAGCAATGTAAACAATAATTCACGGCTATCGCCGAAGTTTGTTTAAGAGTATTTCAAATGTTTTTAATGTCAACTTCAGTAGAGCTGCACTACCAAAATTAATATGGTCCCCATCAACTGTAAATTAGAACAAAAGAGAACAATAGCATTTATTGTGTAACAGTAGAATAATTGGCCAATTGCCCTTTATTAAACAAAAGAAAATAACAAAAGAAATGGCCTCTTATTCCATTTTGGTTGCATGTCTGTCCCTTTGTTGACTAACAAAACATTAGAATATAGTGGCATTGGTTCCTATGCAAACATTTCTAGGTATGTTCAATGTTAATTTATTATTTTGTTTCATACCAGTAAAGACAGCAATGACTGGAGTATTGTGACAAACTGGACCACAGTGCAAAATACAACAACACAGTCAGAATGGAAAAATAATGATTTCGCTCACTCAGATATGGTGAAGTCAAAGCTACGTGTAACAAATGGAGCTTTAAATGAAGTTATAAAAGAAACTGATGGGTTTGTTGTAGATTTAACTGCTCCAGTTGTAGAATATATCAATGATGGTGAGGAAGCCGAACAAGACATACAATACCAGGTTTGATATAAAATTTATTTTTGGAAAAAAACAAGAATACCATGCAGCTAATTAGATCATAAAAGAATTCAAAATTAACTTACATATAAAAATGTATGTATGAACTTATGCTCAATATTGTGAATGATATTTTTTAAGAAAGTACCCACATTAATATTTCACATGACTGTACAAATAAATGATTGCATTTAAATGTTATTTTCTAATTTATATTTAAAAATTTATGTTTAAACTGATGAGAAATTAAAATTCACCTATATACTTGTTATAATTCTTCTGCCATTTTTTCCAGTTTGACACAACAGAGATAGCTTTGAACTTCAAATTCAGTGATGCAGAGTCAGACATAGCTCGTCTGAAAATTCAAATATATGAACATCTTCAAAGTAGCTCAAGACAGTTTTACCCTGGTAAGTCTCATTTCAATTAGTATTCATCCTAATTAGTATTTTCGACATTTGACTCAACACAAATTTCTTTTACATGTACAAACTCATGTTTTCTAATGTGGGACTATTCCATAGTAGTAAAATAACAAGCTTTGCATACATGGCTTGATGAATTTCTTGATAAAAGATGATAGAAAATATTCTACATCTTCCAATTGCCCCTTAGAATAATCCTGTAATGCAGTAAGTATTTGATCTTGTTGAACGGAATTTGTAAGGGATACTGGGATACCATCATACATTTTAACTAAGTAAATTACTTTCATCCTTTAAGTTAGTAATAGACATATTATACTTAAACTTGCAGAGACTTCTGGAGAATGGATAGAGGTGCTTGATGGAAACAGTTCTATATTCAAACAGATGGGACTACAGTTGACATCGGGGCGCAAGTATACAGGTCGCGTCCATTCTGTCAATGGTGCTGGACTTGTTTCAACACATGAATCAAATGGTGTAACTATTGACAATACACAACCTCAGGTCTGTTTGTTTTAACAGCAGAAATTAATCCTACTTTTCATTGTTGTCTGCTGTCATTTTGGCCTGACTTTTGTATTAATATCTTAGAGAGAGAGCTACCCTACTCACCTGAGTGTCAGGGTCAGTGTCACAGTTAAATAAGATAGATTTTGATAAAATAATGCCTTACTTTCACTTTGAATTCTGTTTAATGTCTTTGTACTACCCCAATGTTGTTGTATATTTTTTAATAGGAGCAAAATTTCAGATAAATCAATATTTTGGTATGATAGTATTATATGATATAGAGGTTAGAAGATAATGTCGGTCTAATGATGCATGTACTTAAATTATATATTTAAGCATCTAGATATTCACAATAAAAAAGAAAAATAATGGGTTGGATGACTGCAGCTCTATCTACTTATACTAAAATAACAAGTAGAGTTGTGGTTGACAAGACATCACATTATTATATTGTTGCCATATTTGGAGCTAAATGGCAAGTTAATATAGAAAACATCTATATTTAGTAACAGATATATTGGTCAATAAATGGTAATTTGGTTAAGATGATAAAAAAGTGATAGCTATTCCAGTATTTGAGAAAATAAACATTTAAGTTATTTATCAATTATAAATATGAAATAGATCTCGGCATTTATTATATATTTTAAATATTTTATTTCTATGTCATTTTCAGATTAAATGGTTGAGTGTTGGCATTCTGAGTGGTGAGGAGGAGACAGTAGATGGCTATGTATTGCAATCAGATCATGATGGTATAAAAGCAACATGGCGTGCAAGTGATCCTCAATCTGGTGTTACTATAGTTACATATGCTGTCGGGACATATGAAGGTATTACATGAAAAATCGGCACTACAGTAATCAGTTACATTAATTTACAATCTCACACTTTTGGTAGACATGTGAAAGATATCATATGCTCAAATTTGATATTTGAAACAGATAATTGCTATATAGAGCGTTGGATTTGTAATCAAGGGGTAGCTAGTTTGATTCTTTTGTGAGGCTGAATTTCTTCGTGACCTTTGATCTGGAACATAATGAGTCTAATGGTTATAATGTCTCTCACTGCCGATTCAGAAATCATGACAGATTATTACGATATCACTTGCAGAGAAATTGGTAAATAATGTTTTTTGTCCAGGAAAACTCTTTAGGAGATCAACTACAAAGATATGACCAAAATTGTGTTAAAATCAGCATTTAAATAAGAAAAAACATATTTTGGCTACATATTTAATCTACACTGTTGATTTAAGATTAACTGCATTTATTTTGCATATATTTTACACATCTCAGGTATTAGGGAGTCCTTGTGCAATATTAAATTACTTTAATTCTACATAAATTGTATAAATATAGTGTGAAAGTGAAATGTACAAACATTTTGCAAGCCCTGTATTATATTTATTATAATAAATTTGTTACATGTAAACATTTTAGGTGGGACTAACATTTTGGACTGGACAACTCATGATGATTCTACAAGTAGTACCTATATACAATGTGTTCTTGAGGATTCTGACTTGCTTCCACAGTTTCCTGTATACTATTATGTTTCCATCAGAGTGAAAAATGGTGCGGGAGATTGGAGTGATATAAAAACATCGTCACCTATCAAAGTTGTACCAGAAGATGTTGCTGGTAACTTACTACTTACGTTTATGATTTAGAATAACATGACATAAATAGAATTATAATTTGTTTTATAATGTAATACTGAAGTATAGTCAAACCTGCTTAAAGACCATTCCAAACAAAATTAAAATAATTACTCCCTTCAATTGTGCTCATCATGAAGCAGAGAGTTTTAGGACTGGTTACCCTGGCCCTGTGTTCACTAAGAAAAGATCAGGATTAGGATTAAGTGATCTTGATTTTATTTTCTTTGTTGTATATAACTAATATTGATGGTAATTTGCAAGAATTAAATGGTATATATTCAAGATATAAACAATTGCTGTTTTGCAAAGAAACAAACCTATTTTGGGATAAAATTGATGAATAACAAAACAAATACAAAAATAATCAGATCATAATAAGGATCAATTTTAGGATCAAGACAACTGTAAAATGCCCATATCTTGCAAACTTAAAAATAATTCATTCAAAAATTTCATAAACATGCTATTTCAAGTTTATCATGTTGTATCATAGTTTGGGGACCTTTCTGTTGAAAATGTGTCAGAGTTAAATTGTATACATATACATGCACAGTGCGTTAACTGGAGTGCAGGTAATAGTTACCCGCACTCCTGAGCATGCCTATTGATTGGCTGATTTTTGCTGGTGTTTACTTATTGTGACGGAAGAAAAAGAGAAAGCGATAGAAATGTCATTTTCAGATACTCGTTCATTGGTTCCTTTTTTTCTGGGGTTTCATATTGTGACAACAGGGAGTGTGATTTTATGTTTGGCTATGATACAAAAGAGAAAGAACAGCAAAACACTCAGCAATCTGATTAATACTCGAGGGCTACGCCCCCTTGTACAAATCAGATAGCCACATGTTTCAATGCTCTTTCTATATTACTTAATTTCAAAATTTTATTCTATTAGGATAAACAATGGAGAATATTTGAGTTTTCAGATTTGATCCTGATCTTCATCCTAATCCTTAAATCCTTGTGAACACGGGGCCAGGTGTCTGTATAAAATGACCTAAGATGATCTAATGGTTTTCATTGCAACTTATTTGAGCCCTAATGATAAAATAAATCTTTTATTATAAGGTATTGGCTAAATTTTGTTGTACAAATGGAAAGCAATGGCATATATTATGTTGATATGTTTGGTTTAAACATATTTTATTGTTGTATTAAGGTATACAAGAACAATTTTTTACATTATAGATATAAACAAGACAAACAGGATTAGATTTTTTTATTTATTGACTAAAAATATTATGGTATTTTACCTAACAGAAGTACTATAATTGTCCAAGAAACAGCACTTTAAGAATGCCTGTTGCTGATTTTTTTGAAAAATTTTCTTTACTTAATTATTGCTATTTGATTTTCCTGTATAGGTATTGTACATGATGGAATTTCTTCCAACATCGGTGACATAGATTATCAAACAGATGTCCATACTGTTGCTATGCATTTTACGGCATTTGAGAGCAAACTTCATGGCATATCGTCTTACGATTGGGCTGTTGGTACAACACCTGGTGACGAAGATATACAGCCCTATATAGAAAGAGGAATCTATCACTTTGATGAATTGGATCATTTTGAACATGGTAAATGTTGTGTTTCTTTTTTCTTTACTCATTATGAAAAAATAGTCACTGTATACATGTAATTGTTTTTTAAACATTGTCAAAATTTTTATATAGTTTGATAATATTCTGTTTATCATGTTCACATCAGAGACATATAATATACATCTATTTTAACGTCTCTGTTCACATTAAAAAAAAAAATTTTGTCTCAATGTGCATTGTTAAACTTCTTTCATAATTTAGTTTTAAACATTTTGAGAAAAGTAATGCAAGCTTAACATTTGAATGTGTTTTGAATTGTAATCATGATATTGCTTCAAAACTTAAATAATTTTAGAGAAATTTTTTCTTAAAAAAATTTAGGGGTGTGGAAATAATATTTCTTAATAAATATACATAAATATTTAGGTGTAAATAATAGTTTCAGTTTTTTTTTTCAATGAAACATTCTTATGCTTATTATGCTACTTCCCTTTTAACTATTTTATAAATAAATTTTAACATCGAAATACTTTTTCTAGTTATAGCAAGTTCTGGGTTTGCACACATCCCATTAGATCTAGATCCTGGACAGACATATTACACAACACTGAGAGCAAAAACCAATGCAGGAAATATAATGCAAGCCACTTCAAATGGTTTTATGGTAGATACAACTCCACCATTTGTTAGATTTAACAGGTAACTATTTAAACAAAGTATTTTTACTCATATGTTGAATATGTCATTTGGGACATACATTTTCTTGCATCAGACAGGATAATTTACCATTTACACTAATGCTAGAAAGACCTGTCTTACACCCCTTGTAAGACAGGTCCTGTCCTTTAAATGGCATCATTCCTGTGCGCCTTTTATAAATGAATTGCGTTCCTTGTACTACATAATTTTTCCTTTAATACGGTGTTGGGTGTTGGTCTCCCTTGTTGATCTTCATTGAAATGTTTGGCTGAAAAATGGTTGTTTGCAATATAAGCCTAGTCACTAAATATAAAAATAAACATTTATACAGGGCAATATATCCTGTCGGAAATCTTATAATTGAATATATATATATGGCTACTTAAATAGCATCATGTTATAATTTTTTTCTTCTTTTTTTTTCCAGTTTATCTAACACACCAGTAGATAACAGTACAGATGTTATATACCAGAAGGGTGATTCTGTAATTGATGTTAGTTGGCAATATTGGGATGATGAAGTTTTATCAGGTGATATTGAAGAGAACATGGAGTCTACATGGTTTGCTGTTGATTCCCCATTTACTGCAGACATGAAGGATTACACATACACGGAAATATCAACAAGCTTAGAAAGCAATACTGCTGTTTCACCAGTTGGTGCAGGTAAAGATTTCATTCTCTTGACCATATATTTTCTGAAGAATATTTACAATCTTTAACTAGACTTTGATGCATTTAAGTAATGTTTATGTTCAATTAATTATTTAATATTAGATTTATAATTATCTTGAAATAAAAGTAACTTCCATGGGAGTTAATATTTAAAATAAAATTAACCACCTTGACAGATATAACACATGAAATAAGATTAATTTCCATGGCAGATTGATGGTTATTGATAACATTGAGTTATCTTATATTTTCCGCTGAATGTACTAGCCATTAAAAGAACATTGAGTTCTATCATGTAAATACCAGTAAGTTATCTAGCAAGCTAATGTAATGTTTAATGGTTCTACCCTATACACTTTGTGACGTATTCTAGGCTCATGCTGTTCTCCTACACAAGTGAATATAAAAGATTTTTGTAGAGTAGAGTTAGTCTGTCTCACAACACTACCAGAAATATAAAACAATTTGTAATGATTGCCTAAAATGGTAAAAGTTATATACAAAATTTGAGATTTATGATTCATTGTTTGTATGGTAGGTAAATCAAACATTGTAAGTGTTGGAGCCAGAAACAAGGCTGGGTTGGCATCAATGACAAGATCTCCTCCGATTGTTCTGGATGAAACAGCCCCTGAAGCTGGAACTGTTTCTTGTCCAAACTATGTTCAGGTAAAACTTCAAATAATGCTGCATTTAGATTTAAAAAAAATATATCAAATAGTCTCTTTGTTAATAACAGTGATATGTATAACTTTACTTTAATCATATTTTTAACAATTTCACTTTTGTAAATTGGCCTGCTTTACTAATGACATGCCCATTTTTGATTGATATTTCATTATGAGCTTATTTGACATTATGCAACTAAATGAGTCTGATTAGTGTGTTGGCAGACCTTGCTCTATATTGGTAGCAAAGGTTTGCCATTCAACCACAAGGTGCTTAAAGAGTTAAAATTACTTTTCTTTATGTATGCTTGATTTATAAGAAATATTAACAATAAATGTAGCTTTACATGTATTTAACTAAAGATAACAATTTAGAATTGTTGTATTTTATAGAGTCGTGCAGCTATAGAGTGTACTTGGACTGGCTTTGTTGATAAAGAAAGTGTTATTACAAAATATACTGTTTCATTTGGAACAAAAGAAGGATTTGATGATCTTATGAAAATAGAATTTGATGGTCAGACTAAAAGAATTTTTGCTGAAGGTAAGGTTTCATCATTCATATCTTTTCATAATTTTCTACTGTTTTAGTGCTTCAAGACATTTTTTGTCTTTTAAAATACATACATATAGCAAAGGGTGATGTGACCAGCTTGTGTTAATTTTATTTTTGACTTATAGTGCCTTGGGTATGTTTTATGTACAAAATCATTTATTTACATTGTTGGCTTAAGAACTCAGGCAAATGAAAATTTTATGAAATGTTATTCTGAATATTTAACACAGTGTATGTATATTTCATCTTTTAGGTATAGAAAAGGATCACGCTGATGTTATTTATGCCACGGTGACAGCAGAAAATGCTATTGGACTATCTGTAAGTGGTTATTCTCAGGTAATTGTTGTAGATGACACGCCTCCAACTCCAGGTATTGTAGTAGACTTGCCAAGTATTTCACAGATAGACCCTTATGATGCTGACAGAACGGTCAAAATGACAAGAAAGGCTTGCTCTACTGTTGAAGGTATGAAAATTGAATAATGTTATGTGAGCAACAATTCTTCTATACTTCTTATTGACTGGTACTATTTTTTGATCATCAGTTTTATGTAAAGTTTGTCATTCTTTGAGCTTTTTAACTATTCAAAATGGTACATACTTTAGTTTGTTGGTAAAACAAGTTTAGAGTCTGCTTCCTTGCTGGTGTCATATGAGGAACATGGTCATGACTTGAGTATTGCTCACACCTAAACATTCTAGACAAGACACCTAAACTCCTTAGCCACCACTTGTATTATTATTTTCTTTTTATTGCTTGGTTTATCATATTATTTAAGATCTCAAGAGTTCCTATATGGAACATTTATAACCCTTCTGTAATTTTGTTTTTGATTTTGTATTTGTTATTTATAGAATGTTTAGAGATAGATGCTACATGTACAGAGGCTTTGACTTACTTTGGTGTTGCATGGACAGGATTTGATGATCCAGAGTCACAAATATTAGAGTAAGTTACATTACAGTTACATTGAAAGTGTATGGATTTTTAAGTTGATGTTACTTTTCTTTAACTAATGGTATACAAGTATATGAACCAAGTAAGCCTTCTGGTAGGGACTGAATTTTAAAATGTTACTAGAACAGATTAAGGCCAGCCTCCTTATATTTACCGTCTGTTCATGGTCTGTAGTTTTCACTATTCAATCAATACATATCTTGAAATTTTTCCTAAAAATGATGAATGATTTTTGTCTAGATTGAAAAATGGACAATCCATTAAAAAAAACAAAAAAAAACAACTGTGTTTGAAATTGTGCAAGTTTAAAAAATAAAATTGTGTTTGTTCAGTTCTTGATGTAAGCACAACCCCATTGTTTTAAAGTAATTTATAACTGAAATTAATAGAGAATACATGACCATGGTGTAAAAAAATGTGTTATTGTTCCAGATACCAGCTAGCTATAGGGACATCCCCAGGTGGCTCCCAGATTGCTCCTTTCTTTTCTGTTTCACCTGAGCACAATCATTACTTTATTACAAACATTGATGTTAAAGGGCAGCGTAGGGTAAGTTACTTTAATTTGCCTAAGAATTTTACCATGGCATAAAGGGTACATTTTCTATGTGTACACACGGTAGTTAGTATGTGTGCTTGTAATAGTATTACGTGACCATCCAAAAGTATTGCATGCACAAGTGATAGATAATATGTGTGCATGCAGTACTATTAGCTGTCACGTGCTTACATAGTTCCTATGACCTCTTTATTCCACCATAGAATAAACCATACTAAATAAATCAAACGTTCTAAACATTCAGGCTTAGAATTGTGAATAATTCTATATTGTTTATACCTTTGTCTGTAACCATATTTTGTTGGGTTTTTTTTCATCTCAGTCATAGGAATCAAATTATTTTAAAATTGAATCTTGGATTTTAATCTCTTGTCTTTTCTGTGACAAAATATTGGTGTTATGGATATATTCTTCTTTAGTCATATTCTCTGTAAGTAACTTTAAGGTTATTACACATGCAGAAATGGAGTGAAATTAACATGTAATGACAAACAGACAAACTGCGTTAATAAATTTTCAAACTTATCTAATTATAAATAGATAAGGATCTTTGTGCTGATTTCTGTTTCAGTTGTTTGCAACTGTTCGGGCAATAAATGTAGCGCAGTTAACAACAGAGGTACATTCAGATGGTGTATATCTGTCATACATGAGTCAAGGTCTCCCGCCCCTGCAACGTGTTGGTGTATTTGATTATGCCCAGTATGCTTTTGGTGATATGTAAGTATAACAATAACTTTTAATAGTAGAGTTTTTCTAGTATAATCAAAGGTGCTTTTATTATTTCTCCATTTATTCAATTTTGTTATTTTAAAGATATTTTACTGAAATAAAAAAGCAATTGGGTATGGGGGTTTTCTTTACTCGTATGTACAATAGCATACACATATAAATGTACACCAGTTAATATTGAATTTTGACTTTCCAATGAAATTGCATGACACTGTTAAAATAATGCCGAAATAATTTATCAATATCTAACATACACAAACATATTATTTAATCAAAGTGCCTCAATATTTAATGTCTTTATCCAATTAATCACATGTAAATATTTCATTATATTGATTAGCATATAAAACTTTTTAGCCATTAGAGATTTAAAAATTTGCTATAGATAACAAAATCATTTCTATATTTCAGACAATTTCAAACAGACACAACATCAATTGAGGCAAAATGGGATACAACAGGGGACCCGTGCCCTGTAACAAAATATGAATGGTCAATTGAAATGACCAATGGAACTGTCATACAAGAATATGTTGATATGTATAGTATGTATAATATACATGTATACTTTGATTATTGTTAAATAGAAGAAATCTTAAAGAAAAGTTTGAATAAAATATACATCAGTAATGTTTGTCAGCCAGCAGTATAGGCTTGGTTCTATAATTTTGACTTTAAGGCTGTTCACCTCTGTTTTAACAGGTTGACTGAAAGATTTTACAATCCAATTGCTATACCTTGACATTTTGTAGACTAAGACAGGTCAAACTTGATATTGCCCATAGTTCAGTTTGAAATTGAAAGGTTCCAGGAGTATAATGAAATAATATCTCATTGATGAATGTAGTCATAAGCATAATTTTTTCTAAGGACATCATTAAGATTGTGTTTTGTAATATAATTCTTCAAAGTTACAACAACAAAAAAACCAGCTCCAAATTATCACATCCATTACATAAAATCAGCTAGAAAATGCTTATATTATCATTTTAGCATCAACGCATGGTATAAGTGACAAGCTCTCATTGATAGAAGGTAGAAGATATTACAGTCTTGTACAGGTACATAATATGATGAATTATGTTTATACATTGCGCTCGGATGGAGTTACAATTGATTCTAATCCAATGCTACCAGGAATTGTTTACGATGGTGATTTGACAGGTTATGATCTGAAGGTGCTGCCCTCTAGAACAAATGTTTCAGCTAACTGGGATGGTTTCGGGCATGATCGTGACCAGACCAGTGTAGAAAATGCTGGAAAAGGTAAAATATTGATTTTGTTTAAACCGGTCAGAATAACTTGCAGTATGATTATAATTTTCACAAAGAAAAATATCTTATTGTCACATCTTATTAGTATAGACACATTGATTCATTTTGTCATTGTCCTGAAAAGCAGTTGTTTAAATATTGTTAGAAAGTTATACAGATATCATACAGGAGGTTTGTTGATCTACTTTTGCATCAGTAATAATTCATATAGGGGATTTTCCTTCATCAAAAATTTAAACTGTCACAAAAATACCAAAGAAAATAATCTGTAATCAAAGACAAGCATTTACAAATTAAAATGTTAGAATTATTTATAAAGGTAATATTTAATATCTACATTTTTTTGTTTTTGAAATACATAAACCATTAATCATAAAATGTTTTACCTAGGTATTGACCTCCAACCTGAACGCGAAAGAGACCCAAATCAAGAGATTGCCTATTATATGGTGGCTTTAGGAACAGACAGACGTTTTCCAAATACATGGGATAATATTGTACCTTTCACAAATGTTGGCCTTAACACATCAGTCACATTCAAAGACCTTGACCTAGAACCTGGTTATGCCATTTATTATTTCACTGTTAGAGCATATAGTGCATCATATGCATGGACATCTACTACATCAAATGGATTTTACGTCAGTTTTGATGGCGGAGTTACAGGTACGAATGATATTTCAGTTTCTTTTGTACTTTTATGAACTGTGATTGAACTTCTAAATTAATCTTGCACCAGTTTAGTATAATGTTTTGAATAAATAAATTGTCAGTTTCATAATGAATTTTCTATGAGCAAATTTGATTTGTAATATTTTAGCCATATGTGTTTAAATTAATATCATTAACATTTTATGTAGTAGATTATTCTTTATTCTCCTTTTTTTATTTAATTCAGCTGGCCACATTGACATGCCCGATTTTATCAGCAGTAACACTCACCTGGAGGTGTCATGGAATGGTTTCACCTCGAAGGTTGAAATGTTTATATACTATTTTGCAATGTCTGATAAGATGATTGCTAGTCCTGATGACTGCAGATCATATGTAAGTCGTACTTCTTATAATTTCTTTTGCTCTTTTGTTTGTTTTATATTCTTAATATAAGCTCTTTTGTTTGTTTTATATTCTTTATATAAATTTCAATTAACAAAAAGATGCTCTATAAAAAAAAAACAAAAAAAACAATAACTAGAAATGTGTCCATAAGACACAGATGTCCCACTCCCATTTCACTGTTTGGTCAGTCTATGGATGAATAACATAAGGGGACAGATGGACAAAAGAGAGACTAAAAAAAGTGTTGGAGCACCACACTTAATACCGTATTCCGTTATATACCAGAGAAGGCACTTGAATGCTAAAATCTTGCCTTTACGATAATGAAAGAAAAATGTAAGAATTGGCGAAATTTTCTTACTTTGTGATCATGATTTCTGCAAGCGTCTAGATGCTCCAACACTGTAGTGAATTAAATCTGAATGACAAGTCTATATGCTCTTGATCCTCCTTTGTTAGCTGGGTCTTAAAAAAAAAACAACCCAAAACACATCCATAATAACGATCTAAACTATCAAATATAGAGGCTTATGAATATGATTTTTGCCTGAAAATGTGAATTACTATGTTTATTGTTTAAATTGTTCTCATACTGTATTTCTACATCAGGTTGATGGTGGAAAAGCAACAGATGAAGAAAAATCTGAAAAATTCAACATTTATCCGGTCACCAGTGCTGGGATTAGTACTTACCTCAATATGGAAATATCTCTAGAACACAATAGCTCATACTACATATGGATCATGGGTTTGTTGGATTTTGTTAATATTTTTAAAAGGTGAAATTGTTTGAAAATGAAAAAATATTTTGATTCCGATTAGTCGAAACAAAGTTAAACTTATTTGGTAGTATAATTTATGAAAAAAGTAATTTTTATTAAATCTCATTTTAAACAGGCATTGACAAGTCTGGAGAATGCAGTATGACTTATCATAGATTTACTGTGGACACAACACCACCAGTTGCAGGAAGAATAACTGCTGGGCCTTACTTTGATATGGTATACATGTGCATTTATAACAAAATAATCATGAAATAATTAAATATCTTATCAATCAACTATAAAATTTAATGATCTGAATATATTGAAATCAGAGCCTGAATCTCTTAATCACATCATCAAACATTACTTATAGAAATTTAAATAAATGAATACAAGTTTTATCAATTTGAGTATTATTCGTATTAAATGAGAATGTGGTCTGTGGATATTTATGGTCAATTTATTGTAATCTTTGGCTGGCATTCAAAGTAAAAAACCCTTGCATAATAATGAAATAATCAGACAATAATGCTACTCTGATATACATTTTGTATTTGTAGGTGTATTTTAACACAACTGAGGATCTTTCTTTCTTTAATATAACTTAGCAACTACAATAAAATTGTACTTATCATCAGGGGATTTCGTGATTGAGTGTAAAGGTTGTTTACTTTAAACCCCTTGCCCCTGAAACACCACTGTGTGCAAGCTAACCAGCTAACTTATGGGACATCAGTTGTTCTACTCAGGTGACTGAAATACTAGTAATGCATGGAAGGGCACCTGAGGTCTTTCTCCACCAGTAAAGCTGGAATAGCGCCATATGACCTATACTGTGTTGGTGCTCCATAAAACCAAACCATAAAAGTAAAAAAAGGTACTTTTCAAATACAGCACATTCATTTCCTGTAATGAATTTACTTTTTTGTTCTAGAAACTTGCATACACAAGATCATTCACTTCACTGCCTGTCAGATGGGATGGATTTGATGATAATGAATCAGGCATTCAGATGTTTAATCTTACACTTTGGGAGAAAGGGAATTGTCAAACAAGTGGAGCCACTGTGATACCCATTGAGAATGTACAACTACCTGGTGGTTACAGTAAATATACATTTGTTGGTCTTGAGTTGAAGGTCAGTACCTATTTTATTAATTCAACACTTAACCTTTACACTTGAATTATAAGGTCATGATGGTTTATAGCACAGATATAAAATCATTTGCTCTTGATTTAAAACTTCGGGTTTGAGCCCAGTGTGGAAGTTTTAATTTTAGCAAGTGAGAGTGCTATTTAGAAAATTTAAAATAAACTGATGGTTCTACAGAAGTACCTTTCTTTGGCAAAAGCCAAGAAACCAAGAGAATGATTGGAGACTTAGAGGACCTAAATGTTTTGTATATAAACTAGAAATTTGCTTTAGGAATTTTATCATGTGTATGATGACTTACAGGTTTATGAATTATATAACTTATATGTATTCACATGTTAAAACTGAATATTTATTAGGAATTGGTGCATTCTGTTCTTTTTTGAAGGAGGATACCATTTATGAAGTTAATATAACAGCCATTAATGAGGCTGGTCTAACCAGCTTTGCACAGACTTCGCCAGTGTTATTTGATGATTCAGTACCTACAGCAGGTCATGTGATCGAGGGTTCTGAGTTTACTGATGATGTTGTATGGTGGGGTAGTACAGATCATATGAATGGTAATAAATGACAATGGTTGTTCTTTATTATATGATAGAGTATTTGATTTTGTTCGTTTTAATATTAGATTTATATTTACATGTATATAAATATTATATTTGACAGAGAAATAAAGTAGGCAAAAAAATATCATTTTGCACTTAAAATCTTTTTATGAAAATGGCAGCAAAATAGTTAGATTTCAGTACTGTCAGAGGCTTCATATTTGAAAACATTCTATCCCAACATTTGTCAAATCTTTAGATTGTATTAACTCTCTGAACTTGCTGGCAGCAACATATTCTACCCATGCTGCCAGTGCAAAAATTTTCCCTAATAACTGTGAATGGTTTTGTTCAGATTGAGAGATTGGCAAATCCATTTATGATATTTAGCTTTATAAAGCATTTAAAAATATGGAATATTCTTCTTTTTTCTCTTGTTTTGATCTTCTTCATAACTTCAGTGTTTGAAATTAATACCAGCTGTGGTTAAGTAAGTGTTGTACTTGGTTCATCTCCAGATGAGCAATATTTGATCAGACTTTGTAATTATGATAGTTAAATTTAACAATAATACATCATCTATATAGTGGGTTAAGAATGAAATGTAAAAATTATTTTCAGGTTCTTTGTTGCACTTCCCAATTGCTGTAAATGATCCATGTCCCCAACAAGAGATACACATGACTGATGAGATTTGGAGAAAACTACAGCTAGACGGGATAAATGATGCAGGGGGTTTGAAGTGGAATATACATCACAGACCCAAAAATGTGTATATGAACAATGTTCGCAATACTTGTACTCTAAAGATAGCCAGGGATTCTAAGGCTGAACAGATTTATTCAGCTGTGGTGATGCGACCAGCTGATCTGAAAAATGGAGGCATTTATAAGGTAAAGGTTGATCAGAGATTAAAGTACAGAATTTATATGTATACATGTATACATATATAGGATTGTCAAATTAAATTTATAATGATAAATGTTCTTTGGAAATGAGGACATGTGGTTAAAGTGTGATACTAGATTATAACAAGATGCCCTACCGATGCCTATTATGATACATTAAGGGGAAAAAGCGTTCACCACCATGTTGTCATTTATCTATTATCAAAAAAATTACTTGTTTGTAGAGGAAAAATCTGTGACTGAATATAAATTGCAAGGCACATGTTACAAAGTAACATGACATAAGATTTTTTTTCTTATTCTTATTTTTCATTAGTGTTAGATTTTCTCAGTCATAATTATACTTTAATGTGATCTATCAATAGCTGGATGTGAAAGCAGCAAGTGGAGGTGGAAAAGCTGTTACAGGTATTACATTCCTAGATGGTGATGAAACAGATTTATATATCTACAACCATCAGCAGACAGACTGGGAAGAAGACTCCTGTGTTTGCTGTCTTGAACCAGACACGGTATGAATTTTATACAGTTAAGCTTATAATCTTCAAGTAATGTATCTGTAATAAGGTACAATCTGCCTATCTTTATCAATATTTTTTAACTCTGTAGATCCTTGAAACAACACTGGCTTGCCTATTCCACTGTTATAGAAATGGGTCAATCTTCCCTTAAATTTTTACATTCTGGCATGACTATTCAACATTAATATGTTGCTGAATTTTATCTATTTTAAATGAAAATCCCTAAAAGTAAGAATGGTCAGTTAAAAGATTTGAAGCAGTGACAGTAAATAAATGTTTTTAATTATGTGGAAAGTATATAAACTGTTCAAGTTGTGTAACAACAGTTATTTCTCTAAGATTATTTTTTTGAAAATGAAATAACCCAATTTCCTCTTACAGGTCAGCTGTAATTGTGATTGTGATGAATACCTGAATAATCAAGACTTTAATGTCACAATACAAGACAATAATAATGATGGGAACAGTGTACCATACAATACAGCAAACACAAATAATGCTTTGAGATCAGCCTGTGGACTTCAGATCTATTCAGGTATTATTACCTGCCAGAGTGGTGAGGGGCAAGTGGTTTGAGGTCATTGACTTCAAACCACATGACCCTCATCAGTGTTGGTTTGATTCCTGACAGAGACATTTGATTCTTTCATTTGAAGAAGCTATCAAGCTAGCTTACTGAACTTTGGTGATTTACTCAGGTGCCTGAAATAATGCAAGGAAAGGCACTGAAGGTCTTCCTCTGTCAGTAAAGCTGGAAAGTCACCATATGACCTATACTGTGTTGGTGCAACATTAAATTATCTGCATGTAAACTTAAAATCTATATGTCAACTATTTTGTATTGTTTCTTTGTGTCTTTTCTTAATGAAACAGCATCAGAAAAATCTTGCTAGTTTTTGAATTTGTTTGTTTGCTGGACTTGAGCATCTCTGACTACATTTGTTTCATTATATAGGTTATAAATTTTTTTCTAGCAGTAAGCATTATTCCCAACTTTATATTGTTTTTTTTTTCACTGAAATGTCATGCTTTTATCACAGTATTTTACCAGTCAAGTTATGCTGATAAGTGTCCAATTGGATCCTTTAGTCCTACTAAGTCACAACCATAGTTTGTCATTATGACAACATGACTTGTAAGTTCTATGAAGCAGACTCAAAATTGGAGCTAAAATGAATTTGTTTAAAGAAAGAAAACAATTTGTATCAATTTCATCATAAATCTTTCGTATAACTTGACCAAAGGTATTTTAAATTACAGGACAAAGTCCATACATAGTTACATGGTGCCATTTCAATAACACACAAGAACCAATGTCTGTAACATCAGAGTTAGATGTTGATCCATCTACAGAGTTTCATAATGTTATGATCGAGTTCTTTCAGAGGAAAGAAGATATAACAGTAAGTTACATTTATAAAAACATTATGCTGAAATTAGGTGACTTTAAAAAATATACTACAAATTCATTTAAAAAAGTGGCGGTAAAAAGACTCAGCTGGAAAAAAATCAAGCAAAAACGCTTTGTTTATGAAACAAAATCATTAAAAAATTTAGTACTGTAGCATAAACCTGTTGAGGTAAATGATGATTGTTATGTACTTACATTCATCATTTAATATCATTGACAAAATACTTTAAGTAATAAAATGTTTAATCAGTTATATGTTTAAAAAACACTTTATGATGTTATTGTCATATTAAGTACATAGCCATGAAAATACTTGCAATGTGACATTAAATTTGATTTCTTGTAAAACTGATTTTTCTAATTTTCTGAAATATTTCTCAGTTCACAAGCTGTATCCGAGTCTTTGTCGACGGTCAACAAATGTCTGAAATGGCTGGTATACCTGAATTAAGTCCATCAACCAATCTATTTCTCCATGTCTGGAATAAAAACAATATTTTACCGACACTGGATGTGTTTAACCTCTGGGCAGCAAGAGCAGTTTTCAAGCAGTTAATATTCCCACCAGGAGTGGAAGCAATGTGCAGATATGGTGACCCGTTCCAAGGTGGTACTAATGCTATTGTACGATATGAGGCTGCCATTGGGACATCTAAGGATACTACAGATATTGCTGACTTCCAAGAAGTAATATTTCATACCTAAAATAATTTAAAAAAAACAGTGATGTTGAAATTCAATTACTGACAGTTATATTGAATTACAAATATTCAGTACTTCCAAAATTCAAAATGTTTAAAATTTTCTTTAAATTTTGAAATATTTATGTATCATGAAATAAAACTTCTTATTAGAATCTTTCTCCAACAAATATGCAATACATTCAGTAATATATGAACTTATTATTACAATTTATTGTTTATTTATTTTATCAGTTATCATAACATGAACCTCACAATGATATTTAGATATTTAAGATAAATTTTTTTCGCTGAAGACTAACTTACATTTTGACTTGTTTGTTTGTCAGGTAAGTGAGCCATGTATACCTTGTGTGAAGGACTGCCTTAAAGTGTACTGTGACCAGAACTGTGATACTGAGAGTTATTCAACCATAACATTTTCCATGACCAATATTAACATCAACCAGTCCTTCAATGGTTCATTTTATTTGATTGGTGAGTAAAAGTTTGATGCAGGATACATGAATTTGGTTGTCTGTTTATCTATATGTTGAATAAAGGAGTAACATTTTATATCTAACCCTTTTCTGTAAAAGATCAAAGACTATCTCCAAGTGAAATATATCATGAAATTATTTTAGGAAATGCAAGCACATGTAGAACTAGTTGTTCTATTTTTAAGAAAATATTTTTCATTGCCTGTTGAATCTTTATGCATTTTTATACCCAGTACATATCTTTGCTTCAGTGATTTACTTTAAAAGCCAAAAAGTTTAAGAAGTTATTAATAGCATTATATTAAAGAGTCTTTTCAATGGCAGCATGGCCGAGTGGTTAACTCTTCGGACTAGTTATCTTATGATCACTAGCCGCATGGGTTCAAACTTTGACAGGGGCAAGTTGTTGTTTCCTTGAGCAAGAAACTTTACACTCATTGCTCAGTACTGGTTTGTTCCAGGAATGCATTCCAAAGTGTGTTTATAAGCTGATAGCTTCCTACACAATCAAACTAAAATAAATTTTGTAAAAACCAAAGAGTCTTTACTGTCTAATACTAATGTTAAGAGCCATTTTGTGAATAAAATGAACTAATTTTACAACATATCAAATGTTGGTTTGTTCTTTTGCAGTGAAAGCTGTTTTAGCATCAGGTGCTGAGGCATTATCAGCATCAAATGGGTTCTATATAGACTTGACCCCTCCAGTATTTGAAGCCGATGTATTCCTGTATTTTGATGTTCTCCAAGGTGAATTTGTGCCAACCAATTACCAGGGCTCTAATGACACAATTAAAGCAATTTGGCTATGTACAGATGACAAGAGTGAGATTAAAGTAAGTGTCTAAATTCATTTTGTAAGTAAATATGCTTCAAAGAATGTGTATGAACCTAAAGTGGTGATATTTATATGGAAAGGTAAAGCTAGTTTTATGAAGGATCAGTATTTTTTCTGGAATTTTTTTTGTACTTCATATATCCGGCAATGAGGTACATAATAAAGGTTCTTGCTTAACTATAAAGGCTACATATTTATACATATATATATTTTTTATGCCCCCGGGCATTAGTAATTGAACCGTCCGTCTGTCCATCCGTCTGTCCGTACGAGGTTAACCTAGGACGGCAAGTTGGATTTTTCTTAAGTTCTACCTGTACCAATGGCTTCTTAGTTTACACACTTACTAATCAATACAAAGTTCATGATATGGTCAAGTTACATAACTATGGCTTCCATCTTTACCAAGTTATTGCCCTTTTCAGCACTTAAAAATGAATAATGGTTAACCTAAAACAGCAAGTTGGAAATATCTTAAGTTCTATCTATACTAATGGCTTCATAATTTCCACACTTACTTATCAATACAAAGTACATGATATTGCCAAGTTATATAACTGTGTCATCCATATTTCCCAGTTATTTCCCTTTTTTCACTTTGAAAATAGGGCCTTGTCTGGTTAACCTATTCCGGCAAGTTGGATTTATCATAAATTTCTCTTAATTGCTTAATTTATTTAATGATATCTTGCATATTTGGTAGGTGGATACCTTTAATGGTCCTCTAATTTTTTGTGGAGTAAGTGGTCTCTAGGGTCAAGGTCAAGGTCACTGGTTTAGAAAATAAATTTAAACATTTTTGCTCATACAGCCTTTATTTTTTGGTTGATGTCTTTCATGTTTAATACAAACATGCCAAGGGAGGTCCTCCTTCTTTGGGTATAGGAAGGGGTCATTTGGGTCAAGGTCAAAGTCACAAATATCAAGGTCACCTATGTTAAAAATAGATTTTTACAGGTGTATTAACCATATTCTATAGACAGATGTCATAATTGATAGGAACATAAAATTTGATGGAGTTAGTGGTCAGTTGGGTCAAGGTCACTAGTGCTAAAAATAGATTTTTACACTTTTGCCCATGCAGCCTTTATTTATTGACAGATATATTTCATATTTGGTAGGAAGATAACTTGCATGTTATTCTTACTTTGGATGGAGTTAGGGGTCAGTTGGGTCAAGGTCACAAGTGTTAAAAATAGATTTTTCACTTTTACACATACAGCCTTTATTTATTGACAGATTTATTTCATATTTGGTTGGAAGATAACTTGCATGGTATTCTTCCTTTGGATGGAGAAGGGGTCAGTTTGGTCAAGGTCATCAATGCTCAAAATAGATTTTAACATTTTTGCCCATACAGCCTTTATTTCATATTTGGTAGGAAGATAACTTGCATGATATTCTATAGGTATCAGTGGGTCAAGGTCAAGGGTGCCAAGTATAGATTTCTTACATTTATATATATTTGATAAAGTTGACACTTCACAAGTCATAGCAATGACCTGGCAACTTATATATTTCACAATTACAAAATGCCATGACTCTGTCAAGCCATATAACTTGTGTTTACAATTTTTTGGCAATGTTTCTGTCCATAACTGAGTGAATGGGTAAACATTTTTTGTAATATTGCTACTGACAAGAATCGGAGCCGTGGGCATTTGTGTTTAACAAACACGTTCTTGTTTTAAGATTTAAGTTAATGCTGTTATTTTTTTTCCATTTTAGGATACATTGACAATATTCCAAAGAAAAATACATTTTATGGATAAGTGTAACCTTTTATTTCATTGTATTCAGGAATATAGCTGGGCAATTGGTAGTAGTGTTGGTGGGGAAGATATTCAAAATTTCACATCAACAGGAACACTACCTTCATCTCAGAACTCAAATCTAACTGGTATACTCATGGACAATGCTACCTACTATGTTAGTATAAGATGTACAAATGAAGCTGGCTTATCAACTGTATGGCAGGATGAAGTTGGTAAAAAACTTACAAATACATTTTTTAAGGGCCTACGTATTTATTATTTTTAAAGTGTAACTGTTTTGTGTGGTTGAAAAATTCACAGGTCATATCTTTACAATATCTCTAAAAACATTGTCATGTCACATAAGCTAAGACAATTCTCAGAGAAGTAAATGAAATAATTAATGTATTTTCTTGTATTCTATTAAATCAGAATAATTTAAAATTGCAAGGTATGAAAACCATATGTATTTAAAAATTAAATATACATATATTTCATATAATATTTGTAGTTTTCCTATAGTTACTGAAGTAATTACATTTAAGATATGTGGTAAATCATTTGAATAGTAACAGTTATTTTGTTGCCATGTTACATTCTAGGAGTTACAGTATTGCTGGAAGAACCGGATGTAGATAGTGTAGAGACAGTGGCAGTAGGCGCGGTGAACTTTGACACAAATGTCTACCCATCCAATGCTTTAAAGGCACCAGATACCACAGCCTGTGGATTATCATGGGAAGAGAGCACTGATCCTAATGTGGACAGATATGGTTAGTCTGACTATTTTGTTTTACATGGTTTAATTTATCTGAATACAACCGGCCACTTAATAGTGCCTTGCCAACCTGTACATTTGTGCAGTCTTGCCAAAATTAAGAATGTTTGCTGTATTATTTTTGTATTCTATATATTGGAATTCCTCAAGTTAACGATACACTTTCTCAAATAAAAAAGGAAGAAATTCCAGGTACAAAATTCCATAAGACAATTGTTTGATGAGCATTAAATGTTGAACTATATTCAATCAATAGTAAAGTGTTAATTTATACTTCTGCTAAAAACTATTGATTTGAGAAAAATCTATTCTTAGAATATGTTATTTGAAAGGGAATCCACTGAGAGTTTTTTACATGCTGGTACAGAAAATAGTCTTTTTCAAGATTTTTTTGAAAAAGATTATTTTTTATAACTGTATTTATAAGGTCTGGACCAATAACTCATCTGTAAAATTTCAGATTATTTGCTCACTCTGTTTCCTGGGAATAATAAATTTTATTGTGCAAATTGACCCCAAAATGAAAATGGTTACAATGCTTTTCACTCAAATCAATCCAAAAATAAAACACATAAAGAATTCTATATCAATTAAGTACAGAGTATATTTACATAATTCTTATCTATTGCATAGTTTCCCATTTTATGTGAACCGGTTGGTTTTTGAAAGTATTTCAAATTTTATGATATTAGGCCATTATAACTCGATCAATTGAGCTTTTTTAAGAATGTATTCTGGAGAAATGATTATCAAGAATTCAAAGACAAAACATGTCTTGGTGTTTTGATTAATATGTGTAAAACATATTTGTTTTTCAGACTTATGTATTGGAAGCTCAACAGAAAAATTTGATGACATTGTTCCTTGTATGCTGGTAGGTCATAACTCATCAGGAAAAGCTGAAATAAAACAAGGATATCTGTATGTTGATGACATACCTTATTATAAAGTCTCGGAGCTCAGAGCCTTAAGTGCAGGCATTTATGATGTCAGTGAAATGAGTAATGACTCGGAAAATACATTCAAAATGGAGCATGGTAGAACACTGTTTCTCACCATGAGATTATGTAATAAAGCTCATATTTGTAGTTACAAGCTTGTCAACTCAATACTCTTCAAGGGGGAGAAGGCCAAACTGCTGACGTCATCATCGGGTGAAGCTGTTAAATACAACATTGTGCCATCTTCTAGCACAAGAAGGAAAAGAGATGTGACTGTTCCTGAAATTGTGTTAGATCTTCCTGAAGGTAAATTTGCAAAAAAAGGTTTTCATAATTGTTCACAAAAATAGGAATCTAACTGATTTTTTTTATCTAGCATATATGTTTGACATACTTTTTTAAGTGTGAAGCCAAAAGTGTTCAAGTGAACAAGCTTCTAACAGAAGTAACAAAAGCAATATTTTGGAAATAATATCCTATAACAACAATTTTAGTACAAATGACTTGTTTTGGAAGACCATCAGTAACTAAAGACAACTTGTTTTATTTCCTAACAATAGTCTTTTTTTCCAATTGTCTGGTTTGTCAATATCAGCGAAATGATAACAAACATTTAATTATGCACTTCATTTTCAAAGAATTTTTAGTTCTAGTACCTTAATTTGTTATATGTGTGACTGACACATAAAAAATAAGTTATTGTTGTTTTCTGTAATAAGGTATGATCCCTGGACAAAGTGTATTAGTCACAGAACTCTCAGATGAAGATTTGTACACTCACTATGGTTCCTCTGCTTCATCATCATTTGTACCATATACTGTAGACCCATCTGCAACTTTCAATATGACAGAACGAATCTTATTTGAGCGGTAAGTTAAAACCCACCCCTATTTCTTACAAGGATTTCAGGTGTATTTCAAAACATACAGGTGATATCTGGTATATTTGACTTAAATTGTTTTCTTAGAAAATTGTTATTTATTATAGATTATATAAAATGATAATAACAGTGGAAACCTTACTGAACAACACCCTTGAATTAAGATCATCCCGGTATAAAGACCAATTTTAAAGTTGTTTTTTTTTCTTTTTCTTTTTCCCAAAATACATGTATATCATCAACAGTAACAATGACATTTCATCAAAGGTTTGTGCCTAAAACGGGGAGATTTTCATTTGGAATGGTATATTTTATCAGAAGCATATCCTTCAAATTTGTGAATGTGCCTGATGCAGGTGTACCAAATTTTCTGTGTTTGACCAGATTCAGTAAGTATTATGGTCAGAATTTATAATGTTTAGGATCCAAAGACATTTTCAGGCATATATGTTTAAGCTTTGAATATAGATATTTTATAAATAATGTAACAGGGTGAGGAAAATGTGCAACCTGACCATTGACCATCAAATATGGATGTGCAGCTGTACAGGCAGAGCTGCATACCCTCTGAGTTGTATGATTCCCTACAGAAATATAAATTTATCATGTTATAAGTTACGATTGTTAATATGTTTTCAGAATAGAGTCATTCCTACTATTAATCGCACTAAGTCCTGTTGGACAAGAGCCGCTGCCTGGAGTTATGAAGATGACGTTCCCACATACAATAGATTCTGGCAATTCTTCATTTATGACAAATATTGTCCATTGGAATCCAGGTAGGATTCTTGTACTACTAATATTTGACTCTTTCTCTAAAGAACAATACTTTTTTAGTTTTGACTATTAAAAAAAACAAGGTCAGTTTAAGAAAACTTTTCATGAACATGTAATTGTTAAAAATCTAATGTGCAATTTACACAAGAATTGGATTAAGTTTGGTGTCATATGTTTGTATTATAATGTTAACAATGGCATGTGTAAATTTCTTTGTTTAAAACTGATTTTGTTGCAGGGTGATTTTTGAATTCACAATACATTTTTAGCTCAATTTTTTTTTTTTTTTTTTGAAAAAAACTTGGTCTAACGTTTGCTGCCAAGTGACTTCTACGACACACACTACTCAAATGAAATGGCTAAACTGATCCACACTTATCCAAGGACACCATGGACTTCACGTTTCCCACTATCACCATAACTTTACCATGGATCACATGAAATAACGAGACTTTTAAACTGAAACCATTATTTGAGGCTTCTTATTTATACTAACAACCATTTAAAATTTGTTAAAATATAGACCTAATATGACAGATGACTTATTTTAAAAGACTAATATGTTGGTAAAATTTTGTTTTTTGGGGGGGGTCGGGGTGGCTGTTAAATAAAATTAATCATTTTCTATGGGTAAATCTCACCTTAATTTCAAAAATAATGTTGATCACTATGAATTATAAATTTAATTGAAAGTATTCAAGTGAGAATGACTTAATTGCAAAGAAAGGATACATTTCTCTTGAGTACATGTGCAACAACAAAAGAGGAAAATACTTGTCCCAGTTCTCTTTGAAAATGTCTATACAAAATTTTGATGGATACAAAACACATCTAAAATACTGGAAGTAGTACCTTTGAAAAAATATTATGTAACACTTTGATGTTTTCTTTTTCCTATTACAAGTTATTAAGCCCATAATCATGTTTGTTAAAAATGATCCTACTTTCATTTATAATTATCGTTGGTACACCACTGAGTACGGTAAGTTGACGTTGGAACTCTAACAGACATTCAAAGTCCCTGCAAGTGTGTCTAAAAAACCGGTTATTTAATAAGAAAACATTTTACATCTCAGCATGTCATGCTGCAGTTTTTTCAGGCTTTTAGTTTCCTATGTTATCCTTTGCTTTTGTTGTTCCATTGTCAGCATTATAAGAATCAATATAGAAAGATTTGTTTAAAGCTGTTTTTTAGCTCGACTTTTCTATGAAAAGGGGAGCTATCCTACTCGCCCCGGCGTCGGCGTCGGCGTTAGCGTCGGCGTTGGCGTCACACCTTGGTTAAGTTTTTCGTACCACCCCACTTTATTTCAGAAAGTATTTACAAGTAATGGCTTTTGAAACTTACCATACTTGTTCACCATCATAACCTCCATCTACAGACAAGAGTACCATAACTCTGTCAAGGTTTTTGACAGAATTATGGCCTTTTTTGAAACTTAGAAAGTGTAAATTGAGCTTGGTTAAGTTTTTTGTACCACCTCACTTTATTTCAAAACCATTGGAGGTATCTGCTTTGAAACTGACCACTACTTGTTTTTACCATCACGACCTTCATCAACAGACAAGAGGACATAACTCTGTCCAAGGTTTTTGACAGAATTATGCCCCTTTTTGACTTAGAAAATACAGATTGAAATATGGGTAAAATCCACTTTATTGCCTTAACCCTTTGAGATACTTGCTTTGAAACTTTTAATGCTTAATTTCACATTCATTACCCCCATCTGTACGGCAAGAGAAGGTAACTCTGTCAGATTTGATTTTAAAAATTACTTTTTAACAATAGAATTTGCACTTAATTTTTGTACCAGCTCCACTTTTTGACTGACTGTATCGAGCATATTAATTTGTAAACTTGGGATACTGGTTAAATCTGATTACCCAAAGCAGTCTCAGTCAGCAAGGTATTCTGTAAATTTTATTTAAATCATTGCGCCTTAACTCTCAATGCTTTTGTATTATAGTCAGCATTAAAATCAATAAACAGCTGTTTAGACAGCTGTTTTTCTTAATCTGTACTTCCAGTTCTTTCATATCATTGGGAGACTTCTTCCATATGTAAATGTCAGAAATTTGCCTTTTGACCTAGTCAATGTCTGTCTGACTTGAAATCCACGCAAGAAAAAAGTGAATAAAATGATGGCAAGATTAATATATTAGATTGACAAAATGTCAAGAATCTTGATATCAATAACCATTTCTATAGCATTGTCATATCATGATCAAAACATTTATTACTTTAATATTATTGTTGCTTTGTTTTTTCAGCTGAATTTGAGGTAATGCTTGAAGCAGAAGATTTGGAAGGAGATGTTGTTGTATTTGAGCTTCTAGACAGTGAAAGTTTTCCTTTTGGAAACATTTCAATTACAGAAAATCTGTTGTAAGTACATATGTACTGCAATTCTTACAGTATTTAAGTATTGTTTATTTATTTACCTTTTTTTGTGATATCTTGGTGGAAGGTCCACCTAAATGACTTTCCTTGATAACTAAAAGAGTATTTACAAATTTTTCCATAAATGACCAACTACTAATCACACATGATTTATGAATTGGCAGTGAGAGACAAATGACCATTAGAATTATTATATATACTCATGTCTGGGGTCAATTGTCATTGAGAAAATTCTGCCTTGCTCTAGGATCAAATCAGCGACCTTTGGTTTACAAATCCTAATCTCCCTATTAAGCTAAGTGGGTGAGCTTTTCATTCTTGATTGAATTGTTATATACATGTACATTTTTATAGCATGCTGTCTTAGCCAACAGCTTATTCCATTATTCCAATACAAAGCCAGACCAGTATGTTTTTTTGGGCAGGCCAACTTTATGAATTTATCTCTTATATAAGCTTCTCCAGAATTTATAGCAGACAATGTAAAAAGTGGAAGTTGGATAAATCAAGTAATGTAATGGGGTTTATTTCTTTTATTGCATGAAAATTTTATAATACTGAAAACAATAATATATTTATTTTTCAGTCTGCATATTGCATTGTGCTTTAAGTGTTACGGTGTAACCAACATCCAGGTTATTGTCAGTGATATACCAGATTCTACAGATATCCCATCATCTCAGTCATTGGCTAATATAACAATAGAAGTTTTACATGTTAATATTCCTCCAAACATAGCTCTATTTTCTTCTGAAAGAATCTCACTTCTTTACGATGATCCAACAGAACATGTCATGGTATGATTAGCTTTTAGTTAATTTATTTATTTTGCAGGTTCTTTTCTGTTTGCCTTTAAGTTCCCTTGCCCTTCACAATTATTGTTTTCAATCTAGCTAGGGAATTGAAATTTTTTCAACTTGTGATGTCAAAGCAAGATTGTAACAAATGTAAGAGTAACATTTGAAGCTCCATTGAGCATAAGATTTTCAAGATTTCAGTACTCGGAAACATACAATTTATTATTAAAATTAGCAATTCATGAATATTTGACAAAATGTAATGTTTGCTGGAAATGCTTCCAGCCTTCTTTGTTGATATAGAAAAATCACAATTAATTGTACCTGTACGTTTGTTGTAGATATACAAAGATCAAGATGGTGAAGAGATTACATTTATTGTTGGTACTTTTATAGCATTTGAACTTGATGAATCCCAGAATGTTACAATACTTTCAAACACAAGTGGCATCGGAGAATTTGATTTGTACTATCTCAGTAGAGAGACATTACTTGAATACACTGGCTGTACTGACTTCATGGTAAACTAGAGCATTTTCTTTTTGCTACATTATTATATTTTATTTTGGTCATTTACTTTTGTGCATATGTTATGTTATTAGAAATGATTATTGAAGTCATATTTTTGGACTCAGTCCTGTATCATTCTTTTCAGAATTTTTTTTTTTCTATTTAATGTGGTTACAAATGTTCAATGAAGCATTAATATGATGGTCCATATTATTGTTAAAGTGACCTTATAATCCAAGGGTATATAGTGAGTAAACGTGTGAAGATCAAAATATGTTTTCATTTTGCCATAATCCCTTTTAATTAAGTAATTGAGTACGCATAAACAATAAATAACACATAGATCTGAATAAAATTTCTGTAAATGTCCGTTAAAAGTTACGTATAATGCTTAGTTTATAAAAAGGGTGGGACAGTCTTTTTAAATTTTAGGCAGATTTATAATTTTATCCTTAACATTTTCCAATACCAACTGTTGGTCAAACACCATTTTGACAGTCCATCTTTTGAAATATAAAGTCAATTTAGCTCAACTTGACTATGAAAGTATGAGCATAATGTCACTTTAAATTATATTTTTTGTTAAATGCATTGAGAAATAAGAAAATTCAGTTAGCAAATTAAGAATAATTCAAGTTTAATAGAAAGCATATATAGATAATGTTTAATAGATTTAAACAGATAAAATTAATCAAATCTTTGTGATATTGTATTTCAGTGTTTTGAATGGGATACCACCTCTCCAGCTGTTGATATGACCTGGCAAGCAATTGTCATTACATTTACGCTCTTCAATACAACATCTACAGGGATTGGTGAGCTGATAATGGTTGCCCAAGATGATAACGGGACATATTCCGATGTGATAACAGTTGCTGTAGTGATCATGGAAAATAAATGTGCACATGGCACATGTAAAAGTAATGTAATATTATAATCTTAGAAATGTGCACATGGCACATGTAAAAGTAATGAAATATTATAATCTTAGAAATGTGCACATGGCACATGTAAAAGTAATGAAATATTATAATCTTAGAAATGTGCACATGGCACATGTAAAAGTAATGAAATATTATAATCTTAGAAATGTGCACATGGCAACATGTAAAAGTAATGAAATATTATAATCTTAGAAATGTGCACATGTCACATGTAAAAGTAATGAAATATTATAATCTTAGAAATGTGCACATGCAACATGTAAAAGTAATGAATTATTATAATCTTAGAAATGTGCACATGGCACATGTAAAAGTAATGAAATATTATAATCTTAGAAATGTGCACATGGCACATGTAAAAGTAATGTAATATTATAATCTTAGAAGACACATAGTCTGATAATAAATTAATTTCTGTAAGAATAGTGCATTAGGTCTTTTTGTAAATTTATCAATTGGAGAATACTGTAACTGATTCTGCCTGCCTAGCATAATGGGGAAAGCATCAGATAAGTAATACAGGGCTGGCTGGTTTGTTCTTTGGACATTAGGCATAATTTTTCTGTGACAACTTATGTTGGATTTATTTGTTAAATATTTTAATCTTTTCTTTTACTGTAAAGAACTTTTACCAAAATCCATTCTTTTACATGTTTCTAGATGTGAAAAAGGATATTAATTATTTTGCTGAGAAATATCAGTATTTTGTTTAAAAATCATACCAGAAGCGTACAATATTTTATTTTCAATTTAATATATAGGCAAGAATCCATTGGAGTACACATGTGATGATATCATAAGAATAGACAACTTTGACCAGCATTATACATGTGACTGCCCTATTGCATGGCAAGGACCCTACTGTGAATATGATGTGGACGAATGCAGTCTTGGTCTGTGTGATAAACCGAAACACTGTGAAAATACCAATGGCAGCTTTAACTGTTTCTGTGAATCCAGTGACATTATTTGTCTTATGTCATTTGAAGTTTGGCAGTTTGCTATGTTAGTAATTGGTGTTGCTGTGGTGATTGCTATTATTTTCATCTTTTTGTTCAGGAAAAAGATTACACAGAACTGCAACAGGTATAAGATTTTGTTCTTACTTTACTTAATGTATGAGATAAACACCTGTGATATTGTCCACTATTATTGTCTAATTTTTGACATTTTGTCAGACTTTTTGCATTGTCAATTTGTTTTCTACTATATGACTCTGTTGTTGCTATTTGACATTGTCATCTGCTATTTGACATAAAGTTATCTGCTATTTGACATTGTCATCTGCTATTTGACATAAAGTTATCTACTATTTGACATTGTCATCTGCTATTTGACATTGTAGTCTACTATTTGACCTTGTAATCTGCTATTTGACATTGCCATGTGCTATTTGACATTGTTATCTATTATTTGAAGTATATATCATAAAGTTATCTACTTTTTGACATTGTTATCTGCTATTTGACATTAAGTCATCTGCTATTTGACATTGTTGTCTACTATTTGACATTGTCATCTGCTATGTGACATTGTCATCAGCTATTTGACATAAAGTCATCTGCTATTTGACATTGTTATCTACTATGTGACATTGTCATCTGCTATGTGACATTGTCATCAGCTATTTGACATAAAGTCATCTGCTATTTGACATGAAGTCAACTGCTATTTGACAAAGTTATGTACAGGGCTGCCGATTTTCCGCGGATCCGCGGATTTCGTGAGCTCCTGGGTCATTTTTGAGATCGATGTAAATTCGACAAAGACAATAAATTCATTCGTCATATTTTATACAGTATCCAATACGCTTCGGCTTTTATCGTTACGCTAGCCGCCTATGGTACGTCTGTAAGTGCTTTTCTCATTGGTCATATTGAGTCTTTTCCGGCATTCTATTTTAGAATAACCAATCAAATTACAGTTTACATTGTCGCTCTTGTCTGTTGTCAAAATGCGTCAAAATGTCGGATATTTGTCAAATTTAGAGTCCAGGAAATTGATTTTATGGCATACCAAATCATCAGAATCCAGGAGCTTCCGGGAGCTTCGCCCCCTGGTCCCCCACCAGGGCTCTGCCCTGGACCTGCAAAGGGGGCTTGCGCAGCCCCCTTGACCCCCGGCGTATTTTCCTCTGATTTTGCAATTTGCTGTTGGCAGCCCTGTATCTACTATTTTACATTGTCACCTGCTATTTGACATTGTTGTCTGCTATTTGACATTTTCATCTACTATTTGACTTTATCATCTACTTTTTGACATTGTCATCTGCTATTTGACATAAAGTTGTCTGCTATTTGACATCAATATCTGCTGTTTGACATAAAGTCATCTGCTATTTGACATTGTTGTCTACTATTTGACAGTGTCATCTGCTTTTTGACATAAAGTTATCTACTATATAATATTGTCATCTGCTATGTGACATTGTCATCAGCTATTTGACATAAAATCATCTGCTGTTTAACATAAATTCATCTGCTATTTGACATAAAGTCATTGTTGTCTGTTATTTGACATAAAGTAATCTGCTATTTGACATTGTTGTCTACTATTTGACATTGTTATCAGCTATTTTACAAAGTTATCTACTATTTGACATTGTCATCTGCTATTTTACATAAAATTATCTACTATTTGACATTGTTATCTGCTATTTAACATATAGTTATCTGCTATTTGACATTGTCATCTGCTATTTGACATTGTCATCAGCTATTTGACATTGTCATCTGATATTTGACATTGTCATCTTCTATTTGACATTATCATCTACTGTTTGATATTATCATCTTCTATTTGACATTAACATCTTCTATTTGACATTGTCATCTGCTTTTTAGCTCACCTGTCACAAAGTGACAGGGTGAGCTTTTGTGATCGCTTTTCGTCCGGCGTCCGTCTGTCGTCCGTCCGTTCGTAAACTTTTGCTTTAAATGACATCTCCTCATAAACCACTAAGCCAATTTCATCCAAACTTCACAGGAATGTTCCTTTGGTGGTCACCTTTAAAAATTGTTCAAAGAATTTAATTCCATGCAGAACTCTGGTTGCCATGGCAACCGAAAGAAAAATCTTTAAATATCTTCTTTTAAACAACCCTAAGAGCTAGAGCTTAGATATTTGGCACGAAACATCTTCTAGTGAGTGTCTACCAGGTTTGTTCAAATAAAAGCCCTGGGGTCAAAATTGGCTACGCCCCAGGGGGTCATTGATTTTCCCTATATGCATATAGTAAAAACTTGAAAAATCTTCTTTTAAAGAACCCAAATAGCTAGAGTTTAGGTATTAAGCATGAAACATATTCTAGTGAGTGTCTACAAAGTTTGTTCAAATAAAAGCCCTCGGGTCAAAATTGGCCCCGCCCCGGGGGTCATTGATTTTCCTTATATGTGTATAGCAAAAACTTGGAAATCTTCTTTGAAAAAACCCAAATAGCTAGAGTTAAGATATTAAGCATGAAACATCTTCTAGTAAATATCTACAAAGTTTGTTCAAATAAAAGCCCTGGGGTCAAAACTGGCCCCGCCCCAGGGGTGTCATTGTTTTTAACTATATGTGTATAGTAAAAACTTAAAAAATCTTCTTTTAAAAAACCCAATGAGCTAGAGTTTAAATGTTAAGCATGAAACATCTTCTAGTGAGTGTCTACTAAGTTTGTTCAAATAAAAGCCCTGGGGTCAAAATTGGCCCCCCCCCCCCGGGGTCATTGATTTTCCTTATATGTGTATAGCAAAAACTTAGAAACCTTCTTTGAAAAAACCCAAATAGCTAGAGTTTAGATATTAAACATGAAACATCTTCTAGTAAATATCTACAAAGTTTTTTTCAAATAAAAGCCCTGGGATCAAAACTGGCCCCGCCCCAGGGGCGTCATTGACTTTAACTATATGTGTATAGTAAAAACTTAAAAAAAATTCTTTTAAAAAACCCAATGAGCTACAACTTAGATGTTTAGCATGAAACATCTTCTTATGGGTGTCAACCAAGTTTGTTCAAATAAAAGCCCTTGGGTTAAAATTGGCCCTGACTGGGGTGGGGGGGGGGGCTGTGGGGGCCTATATACAGGTGAGCGACCTTAAGGCCATCATGGCCCTCTTGATGAAATTGTTGTCTCCAATTTGACATTGTCATCTTTTATTTGAAAATGTATTCAGCTATTTAAAATTATCCTCTGCATATTGCTCTCTGCTATTCAACATTTACTGTCTATTGTTGTTGTCTTAAATAAGAAACTGCTGATTTTAAAAGTTAAACATGTACTATGACGGGCAGCATTAAAGAACATGCATATATATATATTTGTGTTGTCCAATAATTGCTAAAACTGTATGAGATATTCAACTTAAGTATGAGTCTGCATGTATGTAGTGAACATAATTGATTTATCAACATTTACTACTCAATGCTGTTAAATCCCACTTTTTAAGATAATTGAGTTCTCTGGTGTATTGAGCCAACTTGTTGAAAGTCTGTGGTTATACCTCGTGCACAGAGGGACTCTACTGCCATTCAAAATAGAGTTTTGCCATGATTATGACATGGGTGTTGGTGTGATTTATTACCCAACTAGAATAATGCACAGTAAGAGAGGAGAGACATTTAGCACAAGTTTTAATTAACAACTATTGTGTGTTGGTGTGTTGATGTCTTTAACAAAACTCTTTTCTTAACATGCATTATTCAAGCTTTTTGAAGCAATATTTTCAGATATTTTCAAATATCTGAATCTGCCTTTTTTATTCTAGATATTTAATTTGTTTTTCTCCTTTTTTTCAGACAAAATCGGGTTATGCAGTATGAGGTGAGTCGAAAAATAAGTAATAATTAAAGGTGTTTCGTCAGTCGAAAGCAAATGTATTTTTTCTGCTTTCTGTACCAAACATTTGATTATTATGTGTTGATAGAGAAATATTAGTAAAGAAAATCTTGAAAATGATATAAACAGGGTATTTTTTTATAAATATTAGTAAAATCTAAAATGTATAGACTCAAGTTAATCCATGAAATAACAAACTCTTGCTTAATGTAACCATAAATCTCTAAAGGCCATCCTGTAGGAGATTTTTAGAAAAAATTGCAAGCCCTGGTGATACAGTATTCATGTATAGTATATTGACACGTGTATATATAATTGTTCTTTATACATGAATATGACAAAATGTTATTTGACATTATGATGAATGCAATGTCTTTAATAATTCATATCATATTCTTTCAACAGGATGAAAATGGAGACAACCTAGGAAATGCACAATTACTTAATGAAAGGGTAACTTTGTTTTATTTTTGCTTGCTTGTGTTATTAACAGTATTTCATTTGATTCACGTTTGACTAACATGCATTCTTGGTTTCTGTACAAAATTTAAACTTTTTGTTCTATATTCAATGCCAAACTGTTCATATTACCAGTAACTATTTAAAACAGGGATTGAACTTTTTTTTGACAAATTCCTTTTACTGTTATCAACTACATTGTCAGAAAAAAAATGTGCCAATGGTTTTGGATATTAAAGTTATTGAACCCCAAAATAAGCAGATTGGGAAGGCATAAGTGCTTATAACCATTTTGTAATAACTTTCATTATTTCTTGTTAGTCTTACTAATTTAGCATGAAATTGTCTCATGGGAAATAATATTTCCTAAAGGTCCACTCAAGTGAGCAAAATAGGCCATCTTTGTCAGTGTTTAACTATTACTTTTATTTATTTTCAAGAATGAACCTGCTCGGAGAATGTTTGATACATCTCTACTAAGACAGCCTGTAAGTTTGATTTTTTATTCACAAATTTGATGAAAATGATATATACATTTGGTTTCCATGTAATAAATATATTGGGTCTATAAATACTGGGTCTCCATGACTTAGTAATAAAACTTAGTGATTTTGAATCACTTTCTCCGCACAGGTATAAATCCCACCAAGTACTGGATTCTAACATATGGGAAATTTCAATGAAAATTACATAAGGGGAAAAATCTATGGTTCTTTCATATGAGAAAGTTCAATGATTCTTTCATTTGGGGAAGATGTATGATTCTTTCATATGGTGAGGGACTATGGTTCTTTCACATGGGGAAGAAATCTATGGTTTTTTCATATGGTGGGGGGGGAAGAAATCTATGATTCTTTCATTTGGGGAAGGTCTATAGTTTTTTCATATGGGGCAGATCTATGATTTATATGGGGGTCTATTTTTCTTTCATATGGGGTAGGTCTATGGTTCTTTTAAATGGGAAAGAAATCTATGGTTCTTTCAAATCGGGAAGGTCTATGGTTCTTTCATATGGGTAATAAATCTATGGGGAAGAAATCTTATATTATATATGGGGAAATCTATGATTCTTTTATATGGGGAAGGTCTATTGTTCTGATCTGATACCTGGTTCAGCTTGAAAATAGTGCATGGTGTGCCTGAGATGTACTTCTGCTAGTAAAGCTGGAAAGTAGCTATAATATTAAATATTACTATAATTTGTGAAGTTAAAACCCAACCCCAAAAAAATGAAACAAAAGTATATAATATACAATGTATAAGAAGATAAGGTTCTATTAGAAAAGTATACACAACCCAGGCATCAATTATATAACATAAACTTGATTAAAGACATATTTAGATACATTTGATAGTTCTTGTAAATTTAGGCACAATGAAAGATCATGTTAGCCATTCAGCCATTATTCTGGTTTATTGACTAAAGCATAATATATATTTTAATGATATCATTTTAACTTAATTAAAAAAAATGATAAGACAAACTCTGTTTACAAGGTGTTGTACCTTCAAGAGATTATGATGTTAAAAGATAATGAGTAACTTATTTAAAGCACTCAGTATTATTTGGTCAATTCTTTTTGTTGGTTTTTGTTTCTTTAGATACAAATAGCATTAATGGATGATGAGGATGCACCTCTCCCACCTATAGGCTTTATGAATAAAATGGAAAAGGTATGTTTTACTACAGATAAATGATTTTATCTAAATCTTAGTACCCAAATTATTATGTCTTTGAAAGGCATGACATTATGGCACTTATGATTGCAGCAACTTTATGTTCCCGCAAATTATCTTCATTTGAAACAAATTCTAATTTTGTATACAATCATGTACTATTTTATAATATTTAAACACAATACTGGAGACAAATCGGGTTTCATTGCTATTTATTGAGTTCTTTTCAGACAAATTGTTTATTGCTGTAACTTTCGAAATAATTTTGCTTGTTAATAACTATATGAATAACCACAAAATCATTTAGCTGTTACTCTGTATAATATCCGAAATGGACTTGTCCAACTATTAATCTTGACATAATCCATTTATCATTTTAAGGAAAATTTCAAAATAAATACTGACTTAATAGCAAACAGTGCAGACTATGGTCTGCACTGGTCTCAGGTATATTCAGTTGCCACTAGCAGGCTAAGAGTTCAAAGGGATTTACCATCAGCATTTTTATATGAATAGCATCGTTGATTATAACAATCTTACATAGTCTGCTGGTACAGACCCGAGTATCTAGCCCTCAGGTAACTGTTTATGGCGATCAGAGGCTCTGCCGAGTTCCCGCTAAACAGTTACATCAGAGCTAGATATCTTGGTCTGTAACCACAGCATGTTTTTCTTTCCTCTTTCTTGCATATAACATATTAATCATATTTAGGAAAGAAATTACAAACCTGATATTTTTTATTCAGCACTTTGTTCTTACAGTATGAACTTACAACTTCAAACAACGGTAAAAGAATGTCATTCTAAGAATGCAATTCATTCATTAAAGGCGTGCTGAAATTAGGTCATTTAAAACAGGAGACTTGTCTTACATGGGGGGGGGGACAGGTTTTTCTAGCACCAGTGTAAACAGTAGATAATCCTGTCTGATATGCAAGAAACAGAGAGCTTATATTGTAAATGATATGAAATTTTGTTAAATATTTTTTTAGTACGAAGGGGAGAGAGATCATCCAAGTCCAGCAGATATTGAAGAGAGATCAAACCTTTATAAAAGTTTGACTGGGACGACAGGGCCAACAACAGTGGTACAATTCTTTTTAACTTACTAATGAATTAATATCATTTGAATTGTTTGTTTTTTCCTTCTTCAAATAGTAATCATTAGAATTGATTTTCTCTGCACAGGAACCATTTTTTGTCACTTTATGTAAAATATGTAGAAAATTCTTGGTTGTTTATGTGTACATGAAGATATCTAAATCACATACTAGTATGTGAGTCACAGTAGGAGAAATATTTTTACAATATGCAAAAGTCAGAGAATCATTTTTCATTTGTACTGACTTAGTCACCTGGTCGCTTACATATTTCTCACACCTATTACACACTGATTTATATTTGGACAATACATTTAACTTTATACTATACATGTACACAGATATTGAAATAAGGTCATTAAGCTTTTTCAAATTGATGATTTAAATCCTCATACTCCTTATTTCATTAAAAAAAACAGTTTTGAATTGTAAATTTGAATGTGAGCACAACTTTTTTTATTTGTGGGAATATGTTCTGCTGTGCTGCAGCTGTAAAAAATTGCCATTATTACATTTCATTGATTTTATATACTTTACTGGTCTTTTGAGATATCTTTAGTGTAGAAGATTAAAAATCTGCTGATGGCCAGTGCTGCAGGAGGTGACAAATAATGCAACTTGCAGCTTTCTCCCATGAACAGACATGATCAAACCAAACTGCAGTTTGCAATTATTTATTTTGTTTTATGGTGCTCTCAAGTGATGTCCCTCTTCAGAATTCTTGCTGTGCAGTCATGTACAAATTGAAATATTTTAAAATTTGTATATATGCAACAAATGTTTGGGAGACAGTTAACATTTTAATTTATGTGTTCTTTTATTGGGTAACAGGATGATTCGGAAGAAGATACAAAGCAGGATAATTTGGGAGAAGATATAAAACAGTTACCAAGTATCTCAGAGGTAACAATATTACCTTAGACTTTTTATTCAAATTTTATATAAAAATGTATGTAAAAGCAGCATCAAGGAAGTTATGATGCCCCTGCAAATTTCATCAAAGGGGGATATGATATACCCCGTGCAAAAATATGTTTTGCGTTATATAACACTTCATTTTTCAGTGATAGATCTACACCAGTGACTCGCATATATGTCATGAGAAAAATAATCAGCAAAATCAAAAGATTTTGATCAATATTATTTGTCAGGTTGAACTTTAGTGTAATATTTGAAACTTTATGTATTTATATAAAGTTTTTTTTAAGTTGTTTTCTTTTTGTTTGTTGTTGTTTTCTTTTTATGTTAAAAATGGTGCCCTACAGCTATGTTTTGTGTTTGAATACTTTGATAAGCAAAGGTGATAGTTAGAATTATCCAGACTGACTTGTCTATTAAATTTAATTATTGCAAATGGCTATTTGGACGTCTTTTTGTGGACTATTCAACAATGTACATCAATATTTTTCGTTTTTAATTTTAGGTGGTTGTTGAACCAGTTGACAGTAGACCTGCAAGTAGTACAATACAATCTAGAATGGATGTAAGTTAAAAACACACACACACACACAAATGTTCAGTTTTGTGCTTTTCTTTATCTTAAAAGTTGTCATTCAATTAAATTTAAAGGCTCATTGTGCCTCAGACATCCATATCCTTCAGCAGCCTACAATATTGAACAAGGTCCCTTACAAGGAAAACATGTGTGGTATATATATTGTGTACTTGCTATGTATATGCTGTGATGTAGGTACTTTACCAGAGAATGTCTTACATACACAGCATACAGTGCACATGCTGTATACTTTCTAGATACAATGCATAATGTTTAAGTTAGGTAGTTTTGGAAGTACACTTGATGTACACTGCAAAAACTTATTAAGCTAGGTCAAATTGCACGGATGTTCTTTATACTGCCAGTTAATATCAGTTTTTATTACAGCTAGTTATATACTTGTTAAGAATGGAAATCTTCATATGAAATGTTTTAACTATTTGGATGAATAGATACATTGATCTAGATAGTGGACAAATATATATTGATATATTGAGGCTCAGATGACTAGGTCTTGTGTAAAGAAGGCTATTTTTTAAAAAAGTTTTGGTAAAATCTTAGATAAAGATGTCCTGTAAAGTGTAAAGAACAACATTTGATTCCATTTTAAACAGTCCGGTAATAAATACATTAAGTTGAATTACACAATGCTCTTTTATTATCATTTCAGAGAGTGTTAACAATATCTGATATAACCACAACAACAAGTCCATGGAACTTGGGAGAAGATTAAAAGATCATTGATAAATATGGACACTTTCTATGACATTATTATATTGATTAATGATATTTCATTTGTTGACCCTTCAGATAATAATTATATTGGTTGATAATAATATTTCCATGCTGGACATGATAATTTTGTTGATTAATGATAATTTTTAACTTGTCAATATTTCAGTGATGTTTAATTGATAGACAAAAACTTCAGATAATAATTATTATATTCTATATATGGACACATCAGGTGATAATTGGATGATAATCGATAATAATATTTTGTACATATGGACAGTTTATTGGACACTTCTGATGATGATTAAATTAAATTAATGGTTATAATTCACATATACATGTAGACACTTCAGTTGATGATTAAATTGATGAAGGATAATTGTTCATATATTGCTACTTTTGAAAATGCTTATTTACATTGTATTATGCTTTATTTTTCTTTAAAGAATTTGTGATTTAGAAAACTTTTTTAGTTTAAAAACTTTTTCAGTTTTTGTTTAATTTGTAGTTTTTTTCCTTCTAACTGCATTCTAAATGTATGTCACTTAATTGGCATTTTATTTACAGCATTTCATTACGTTTTTACATGTAGCTTTGACTTTAAAAAGATACTACTGCATAGCATAGTTTTTACTGTTTGAATTAATACACAATATAAGAAATCATTACTGAAAGTTGAAATCTTTACAAACCAGTATTCAAAGAAAAAAGAAAGAAAAAAAGAGAAAATATGAATAAGGAGATAATCAATGATTTAATGACTATTTTCCTCTTTTCTTCTTCTTCTTTTTCTCTATTTATAAAAAAACATTTAGAATATAAAAGTGTATATGTTTGTCAAAACAACATCTGAAAGCATCTTCCAGTGTAGCCTTTATTAATTTTATATATTAAACCTGAAACATAATATAATCTCCATAGTTAAGTGACAAGTTTTTTTTTGTTTTTTTTTTATTCTGTTAATTTATTAATTGGTGATGAAATTATCTACAGGTTCAGTGAGCCAATGTGTTTTTACCTTTATATGTTATATGTTTTCTTAATTAACAATCTTCTAGTTGCATGCTTTAATATTATTTTAACTAATGTATTTTTATTTATTTTAACTTTCATTTTCTTGATTATTTTTAACTATTGTTTCTATCATTTAATGACCAATATTAATTTGTAATGTGGTTCTTAGTTAGTAATAAAGAAAAAAGGATGAATACTTTAGTTGATATTTTTGTATCACTGAGTGTGAAACATATTGGCTGTTTGGCCAATCAAATAATATGCACTGGCCTTTGTCTCAATATCATGGACAGATATTTTTGTTATATAAATTGCTGCCAATGTATTAGAATTGTATCACAAATGTATGCCTTACATTCAAGACCTCACGCCATCGAAAAGATACTGAAATATAAATACATGTTTTGAAAAGCCACTTAATTCAAACTGGGACATACCAGATGTACATTATACATTGTATATGTGTGCCTAATAGTGTTGTGTTAGAGGGAAGCAATGAACGTTCCAAAGGTTTTCCCAACTTCTGAGAGAATCTGAACTTAGCACAAATAAGCATTGTCTCTATCACTCTATATATTTTATATATGTAGTATACATTAGTACATTAAAGTTGCACGCCTCCAGATGAGCAAAAATATTTTGATAAAATCAAACCTGAGAAAATGAACTAAGACTAGGAAAAGCATATAAAAATAATTTACTTGTTATGTGCCATTTATGACCAATTATTCAGTATTTATAACTATATTTCTACTGCGTTACTAACGCAGTAAGGGCTATTTCTGCATATTTTGACCTCTTTATGGTAATTTACATGGGTTGAAAGTGCCTTTGATAATGTGTAAATTGCATTCTTTTGGTAAATCCACAATACTATACTTTTAAATGCGTTTTCAAATTTTCATGAAAATTAGTATCAATCAGGAGGCGTGCTGCTTTAAGAAAAGCCTATCTCTAGAAACTCTCCTGAGCCAACTACTCGCGTAACTCGTGCGAGTTAAGAAACTTATAAATATTATCGTCAGGGAGAGTCTGTGACTTCCAATAAGTGCTATCTTAGCTTGATATGAAAAAATAAATTCCTTCTATAAATAAAGGAATATCCGAGCTGACTAGTGCCCATCTAGTCTATCCAGGCTAAGTACGTGGGTCAGAATCAATTGTCTTGCATTGCCATAAGAAAGATGGTCCGAGCCGTGCTGATGATGGCTTTTCGACAAAAACGGTCCAAGAGTAAGTTGCAATGGGCGTCTGGACCTAGATGTTTAGTCAGAGCCAAGTGAAAGTTTTCCAATTTGGCGCATTTTTTGTAAATGTTACAGGCGTTGCCCAAGGAGAAAATGTAAATGTTGTAGGCAGAAATGTATTATCTAACCTGCCGGTAATAATTGTATAAACGCTCTGAAAATAGCTCACATTCTGACAGAAAATCAAGAGTGATATCAATCAGTGTCGTAGATTATGATAAAATGGCCACACATTGTATATCAATGGCATTTATTTACAACACTGTCATATACCATGGCTATGATTGTAACATTTGGGGATAGTTTTGTGAAAAGGCTAATTAAGTTCTGCAAAAATACAAAAAAACGTGTGTACCCGAAAATATGAAATTTCTTGGTAAGGGTGGATCAAAAACAGATCAAATGAATGCAGACCTTTATTCTGGTCATATGGAGCTGAAACGATACCACCGGAATACAGTAAATCATTAAACAATAAACTTAACAATGGTATAAAATAAAGAAAACAACGCAACAATGATCAGAAATAAAAATTACACAGAAGACAGTTTGCTAGGACAAAAAACAAATTTTATCCGAGGCGAAGCCGAGGATAAATTGTTGTTTGTGCTAGCAAACTATCTTCTTAACGTCTGTAAGAAGACACTTTTGAAGTAAAAAAACGGGTAACTGTATCCGACTTGTACGACGTTTAAGTGTAAAGAAAAGATAAATTAATAAACACATTTGATTATATAGATCTAATTGAAATAAAATGTGTGTTCACGTTGAAAATATAAAACTATAGAAAATATTTGCATGGCCTTTTAGCTTTTGTAAGCAAATTGTATTCGCACGGCATTTTCGTGCACTTATTTCAATCGGACAGAATTCACTTTCATTCATGATAAACACACGTCAGTTTCTATGGTGTCCTGTTTGAGGCAGTTAAAATATCGCCTGTTTCGATTTAAAATTGACTAAATCTCTTGATTTAGCTCGACTACTCACAAAATAGGGAGAGCTATTGTTATTGTGAATTTTGACAGAACTACGGCAATTTTTGAAGGTAAAAAATTCTACATTATTCAGGCTCTTGTTTTACTATCAAGTACTGAGACTAGTTAAACGATCTAGCTCTTGTTGATACTAGTAGATAAGTTATGGAGATTTAACATTCTTGTTCAAAGACTTTTCACTATTGACACTGGTAATAAGTTAAAGTTCTCGAAAGAAACATGCGAAAATTAAGGTTAAAGCTGCTTGCCTCAAGATGAGTCAAAATATTTCAATAAAATCAAACATAAGAAATGTGTGCTATGATTTAAGGAAAAGTAAAATGATGCAAGATTCAAGTAATACATGTTTTACAAGTTATGTGCGGTTAAGGACTGATTTTTCAGTATTCACAACTATATTTCTATTGCATTCCTAACGCAGTAAGGCATATTTATGCATAGTTTGACAACATTTTGGTAATTTACGTGGGCTGTAAGTGCCATTGATAATGTGTAAATTGCTTCCTTTATATTAAACATTCAAATACATTTTCAAAATTTTCATGAAAATTAGCATGAATCTGGAGGCGTGCTGCTTAAATCATCGCAAAGATTTTTACATTTTGATTCGCACCAGGATTTAAGTAGTATGAGACAAATTCAACGTTGTATTGGGCGAAAAGTTTCTTGCGAGAATGTAAAATATTGCCACTTTTTCTATGAAAATACAGAAAGAGGGGTAAGACTTTAGAAAAAATAGCATGTCAATAGGAGACCTTCAACTGGCCCAAGCAGGACACCGTATATTTCAACTGTATTAAATCCACGTGGAAAGTAACGGTTATCTGAAGACACTTTTTGAATAGCTCTGCTGGGGGTATAGTCGTATAAGTACTAATGCATTATTTATGGCAAGACAGTATATGGCATAAATGTAACAGCGGAGAAGGTTTACAAAAAAATAACATGTCTTCCTAATTAGTATATGAAATCAGATTTTCTTACCGAATTCCACTTGGGTATAATTTTAATAATTCAATGAGAAAATTTACAGTGGTTTTCAGAACAAGATATCTACGCTTCTTTTCAACAGAAATTAAATCATGTTGTACGGTATATATGTAAATTCCGAGTAAAATGTAAGATATACCCATGTTGAATTTCACAAACGAAAGTCTATTTTATACAGTAGATGTTGCCTTAAATATAAATGCAATCGATAATTTGACATGCAATATACGAGGGACATTTATAAAGTATTAATCAGTGTGAATTTTTACCGTTAATTTGAGCAAAATTGGTACTTATAATATTATACATGTATGGAAATTCAAGACTGTCCTCTGCAATTATATGCACGAGGAAACCGTGAAATACCTACGCAGTGAGCGAAATGTTCACTTGAATCGACTACGGTCAGGTGCACTGCAGTTGAAAATGGCAGAAAAAGAGACTAGCAAAGAGTGTATTGTAAAATTCGCGCATTGCTTGGTGTTGCTGCACCTGATATTAAATCAGATTTAGACAAGGTTTATGGGGATAGTGTCATATCGTATACCACAGTCCGACTTTTGAGACTTCAAAAGATGAGGCCCGTCCTGGTCGTCCAGTCACAACAATGACTGACGAAAATATTGCTGCTGTTTAAAAAGTTGTTGAAGATGATGCCCGCTGTACAGTGGAGGAGAAAGGTGATTTATGTGGCATTAATTCGTCATCGGTTTTTCATCGGTCATCGGTTTTTCAAATATTGACTCGCGTATTAAAGTTACGCAAGGTTTGCACCGGTGGATACCCCCACCTTCTCACTGAGGACCAAAAAAAGGGAGCGCGTGCGATATGCGTCACAGCTGCTCGATAGGTACAAAAATGCTGACCAAAACTGTATGAATAAAATTGTGATTGGTGATGAAACATGGGTCTATTTTTTTGAGCCTGATGGTAAAGAAAAAAATAAGATGTGGGTCGGTAAAAATGACAACGGCCCAAAAATGCCCGTAAAGCTCGCACCTCAAAACGCTTATGTATGTATTTTCCTTTTCTTCTCTAAAATTCGTAATCTTTCTGTGAATTTTGGGAAAACATATTCAGCCAAATGGATTGTGAAACAAGTTTATAGATTGTTTTTCTCACTATAGTCTATATTTTGTTTGCACTGACCCAATGGTTAATTCATTTTTTCACTTGTTTTTATGACAGTCTGATGACTATGGGGACTATGGTCTGTACTGGTCACATAGGTATATTCAGTTGCCACTAGCAGGCTAAGAGTTCAAAGGTAATTTTACCATCAGCATTTTTATATGAATAGCAACGTTGATTATAACAATCTTACATAGTCTGCTGGTACAGACCCGAATATCTAGCCCTCAGGTAACTGTTTATGGCGATCAGAGGCTCTGCCGAGTTCCCGCTAAACAGTTACATCAGAGCTAGATATCTTGGTCTGTAACCACAGCATGTTTTTCTTTCCTCTTTCTTGCATATAACATATTAATCATATTTAGGAAAGAAATTACAAACCTGATATTTTTTATTCAGCACTTTGTTCTTACAGTATGAACTTACAACTTCAAACAACGGTAAAAGAATGTCATTCTAAGAATGCAATTCATTCATTAAAGGCGTGCTGAAATTAGGTCATTTAAAACAGGAGACTTGTCTTACATGGGGGGGGGGGACAGGTTTTTCTAGCACCAGTGTAAACAGTAGATAATCCTGTCTGATATGCAAGAAACAGAGAGCTTATATTGTAAATGATATGAAATTTTGTTAAATATTTTTTTAGTACGAAGGGGAGAGAGATCATCCAAGTCCAGCAGATATTGAAGAGAGATCAAACCTTTATAAAAGTTTGACTGGGACGACAGGGCCAACAACAGTGGTACAATTCTTTTTTAACTTACTAATGAATTAATATCATTTGAATTGTTTGTTTTTTCCTTCTTCAAATAGTAATCATTAGAATTG